TTGTATATTGCCAGAAAAGAAACACATAACTGAAACAAATGAAAGATGGAGATTTGCATTTATGTGTGTGTGTGTGTGTGTGTGTGTGTGTGTGTGTGTGTGTATGCAGATAATTATGCTGTGGGGGTTTTTTGTGCAAATTAGGATGGTATAGTTATTTGCAATTAAAAAGCATGCACCTAAAGGATGGTGCTAAAGCATTCTTTTATTTTTATCTGCATGTGTCTAGTTTTTCTTGTTTCTTTCATCTAGACATATATTATTCTTTCTGTTTATGATGAAAATATGGGTGTAGGAAGAAAAAATAATTCACAGAGAGCCCAGGGTGACAGGAAATGTTACTCAATTAATGGCACTCTGATATTTTAGAGCATGTCATGAAAATGTTTACAAAATGGTTGCTGTGAGGATAAGGCACAACATACATATTAGATTAACTAATTCCTACCCACATAGAGGGAAATTAGTGTGGCCCAAAAGCATTTTGGTTACTTTTTGTGAAATATAAATTGGTTATTTACTTTGTGATTTGACAGCTTCCTAAGGAGATTCATGTTGCTTACTCTTGTTGTAGTTCTGTCCTGGATAAAGATGAACAAATAATTTGAGGGAAAATTATTTTCTATTACTTTTTCCCATGGAGTATACCAACTGTGCAAGTTGGTATACTCCATGGGAACATTCTAGTTTTCTTGATTGCACTCTTTGTATTGAGGACTAAGTCTTTGATTACAAGAAAACCAAGTAACATATATGTGGTGGTGGTGTTAGTTGCAAAGTTATGTCCAACCCATCTCAACCCATGCACAACATTCCTCCAGTCCTTCCTATCCTCTACCATCTTCTGCAGTCCATTTAAGCTCACACCTATTGCTTCAGTGACTCCATACAGCCACCTCATTCTCTGTTGTCCCATTCTTCTTTTGCTCTCAATCTTTCCCAGCATTAGGCTCTTCTCCAGTGAGTCCTTCCTTCTCATTAGACGGCCAAAGTATTTGAGTTTCATCGTCAGATCTGGCCTTCTAAAGAGCAGTCAGGGTTGATCTCCTTTAGGACTGACCGGTTTGTTCGCTTTGCAGTCCAAGGGACTCACAGGAGTCTTCTCTATCACCATAGTTCAAAGGCCTCAATTCTTTGGCACTCAGCCTTTCTTATGGTCCAACTATCACAGCCATACATTGCAACTGGGAACATATATGTATTTCTCAATTAGGGATCTCTTTGGGCCTCCAATTATTCTGGGTGAATTCAACTGCCACAAGGAGACAGCTGTTGTCTGATTCCATATTTTGAATGTTGTTTCTGTGTTGTTGGCTGAATAACCTCCCTTCCTTAATCTAATATATAGTGTAGATTCTGTTTGAGCGATCTATAGTTTCAGTGGGATACATAACTCCATGAACCCTGCATGTATCTACCTTCTTGATAACAGAAGTTATTCTGGGTCCTTATTCCGAGAAAATAGCAACAGATATAGAGAAGGATCTGCACATTTCTCCCTAAAGCCAATGTCTAGATGGGAATGTATCCAATATTCTTGGCAGGAAGAACATTGGAAAGAGCTCTTCCAAAGCAGCATGACCTTGAAGAGAGCCAAAATAAAAGCTGGACAGAAATTTTGTCTGACCCAGGGAACTTTGAGACACACACCTCCTCTGGCAAACTTTAGTTTGGAGCAAGGACATATTTTTTTCTCTTAAGCAATTAAATGTTACACAATTTATTCAGTACAGCAGTCAACCCTCACATTTGCATCCAGTGTTAATTTTAGGTTTCCCAAATATTGAAAGAACATCAGGATTTCAACACTGGAGTGTACTGTCTTGTGAAACATTTCTTTCAGGCTTCAAATCAAATGTCCATGTAAGTTGTATGTCGGGTCCAAACTCTGAGATGTCCAAGCTCAGCAGACAGATCATTTGTCAAGACATGACCATATAAGCCGATGAGAGGTCCTTCTGTAAATGCAGAAGACCTTTTACACAATGTGTGTGCTGAAATGGATAAAAAAAACTTCTTTCTTCTTTTCCTAAGCCATTTTTTAATTATCTTGTACTTGACAAAAATGCAGTCTTCTCTGTGCTACTGTAATGTATCTGAAGTTATACTCATTTTACTATCAAATAAAATCTTTTAGGCTCCAGCATATAGAAGTGATAAAGACAACCTTTTCAGAATTTAATGGACTTTCATCTGAATCTAACAATGTAATACATGAATGTCATGTGTTTGCAGAATCTCTTTGTCCACCAATGTTTCAGTTTCTTCCAAATAACAACCTTCCAGATTCTGTCCAACCATATTCAGACTGGAAACATAAATTTTTTCCCACCCTGCAACTATTTTTAATCACGTGATTGCTAATTTTGTTGTTAGTTGCGAAGTCATGCCTGACCCATCGCGACCCCATGGACAACATTCTTCCAGGTCTTCCTGTCCTCTACCATCCTCTGGAGTCCATTTAAACTCATGACAGGGTATTTACGGGACCGCCTTCTGCCACCAATTGCCTCCCACCAGCCAGTTCGCTCCCACAGAGAGGGCCTCCTCAGGGTGCTGTCGGCCAGACAATGTCGGCTGGCGACCCCCAGGGGGAGAGCCTTCTCTGTGGTGGCACCTACCCTCTGGAACAATCTACCCCCAGAGATACGAGTGGTCTCCGAACTCCGGACTTTTCGTCAGGCCCTAAAAACTTATTCTTTTCAGTTAGCCGGGCTGTCCTGATTTTACGGTTGGTTTTAAAATTTGATATGGATTTTAATCGAAAGTTTTAAATTACGGGCCAAATTTATTTAATTATTTTAAATCTATTTTTTAACTTTTGTGTATAAATGTTTTTTATCTTGGCTGTTCACCGCCCTGAGTCTGAAAGGAGAAGGGTGGTATAGAAATCTGAAAAATAAATAAAATAAAATAAAATAAAATAAAATAAAATAAAATAAAATAAAATAAATAAATAAATAAATAAATAAATAAATAAATAAATAAATAAATAAATAAATGCCTACTGCTTCTGTGACTCCATCCAGCCACCTCATTCTCTATCATCCCCTTCTTCTTTTGCCCTCTATCTTTCCCAGCATTAGGCTCTTCTCCAGTGAGTCCTTCCTTTTCATTAGGTGGCCAAAGTATTTCAGTTTCATCTTTAGGATCTGGCCTTCTAAAGAGCAGTTAGGGTTGATCTCCTCTAGGACTGACCGGTTTGATTACCTTGCAGTCCAAGGGACTCACAGGAGTCTTCTCCAGCACCTCAAAGGCCTCAATTCTTTGGCACTCAGCCTTTCTTATGCTCCAATTGATTGCTAATAGTATGATTATATTTGTCAATGTATATTAATGTTCCAAGCAGACCCTTGTTCTGGTGACATTTGGTCCTTTTTGCACCATTTCTTTCAACATGCCTTTGTCAGAATCAGTGGAATTAATGTAAAAGCCAGGATTTAGCTTAATCTGTCATCTTTTAGTATTTGTTTGTCAAGTTTGGGCTGAAGTCTCTTTAAGCCTTTTGTGCACAAACCTTTTGAGATAGCCCAGTCTGACTTGCTCCTTGAATTACTCATTCAGGCTGAAGAGGATTGACTTTTCACCCACTAACCTTTCACTCACTAAAGCCACTTGACTTCTGATGCTTTCTGAGTCTAGGAAGTTGAGATGGATTTAGGCTCAATCTATTTTGAGATTTAAATGAATGCAATTTTGTTTGGCTAAAACCTCTTCTAGTGACATGGCAAAACTCTGCAATTTTTGTTTTCATGCATGACAAATGTCATACTCAACATTTGGGTTTACTTGCATATAATAAGCTGAAGGTACAGAATTTCTTTAATGTTACAATAAACTAGAAGATACAACATAGCAAGCCTGCCAGAAACTATTCATTCTCCCTGGATGCTTTAGTCAAATGTTAGCTGATGTGAATTTGAATAAACAAAAAATGTTCTGTGAAATGGAAGACAAACAATTTCCAGGCTTTTTGTTTTCAATTTTGAAAAAGGAATTGTACTAAGTCTGTTCATTTTGCTCTGGCATGAATTTACCACAGAGAAGGGAAAAAAACAACAACATAGCATGTAACCCAAAATGTAATGTTTGCCCCTTTGAAGGGAAGATATGAAATCTGGAGTGAAATTTGGAGAGCTTGGTTTCCAATAAAAACTGACAACATTATTTGTCACCCAAATTAATTTAATTTTTGATGCTTTTAAATTGTGTACTATTTTTGAAGTGTCAATATCTCCTTTGGGAGATGAGATTTAGAATAGCCATAGCTTCACCAATTTTAAGGTAGTGAGCAGTCCTTACAAAGTAAACATTTGCCAAGGAAGAATTGGAAGAAGGTGCTTGGAAATAACAGGGATAAGGCTCTTAAACCATTAGCTTGGCCTTGTGTTCTGATAAAAATGATAGCTTTTGTTTGGGTCAAGGGGAAGAAAAGGAAAGGAGATTAATATATAAGAATTTTGAAATATATTAATATGAGTATTTAGAAAGCCACCTTTTTCTAAAGGATGTCATTGTTGGGGCCAGACAAATCCTGAGAGTGGGGCAAGTATTTCAAAATTAAGGAGTGAGAAAGAGAAGGTACAACTCCATGGTTCCATGAGCTGACATTGTTTAATTGATCAAAACCAGAACATGTGCATCCTGTTGATCTTAGGGGACAGGAAAAGCAATTGGAAAAAATCTCCCTGTAAATAACCAGGAAAATGAGAAGTGGAAAAACACAAGATCCCCATATACTTTTACACACATGGAGGGGTATATTAGAAGCCTAGTTTGAACATGCGTATGCTTATTCATCCAGTTGATTAAAATTCAAACCTTCAATCAAAGAATTCTTTCTCTAATGAAAAATTTCATTAAACAGAATGCTAGTTTCTAAAAGATGGAAGTAATGTTTAATACTATTTTGCATTATTATATCATTTGGGTTTTAATTTTGTAGAACACCACACCACTGAGATCATGAATCTAATGGGCATCTTTTATTCCTGTTTCAGTGGCAAATGAAATGTTGCCGATGTGATTCCAGAACCCCTCATGCATTCAACAGTCACCGGGTGGAAAATGTTCTCTCTTCTACAGGACACAAGCGGTGGTGGCAATCTCAGAATGGTAAATCCTTGATTTAGAGTGGGGAAAAGAAAGGAAAGAGGCTGATGTGGACGTGCTGTAAAGTAGAACAATGATTTGAGGGGGACAAGGGTTGTGTGGATTTAGTAAATAGGGCTTGAGTTTTAATAGATTAACTGCAAAGAGGAAATGGATGATCTAGCTTTTAGAAAAGCCTTTAGTTTCATAATCTTCATGGCCCACTGTTCTGATAATTGCTTTTTGTGTCTCCTCAGATGTGAAACATGTTTCTCTCAAACTAGATTTAAACAATAAATTTCATCTTGCTAATCTTCTGCTGGACTTCAGGGTATGTGCATAGTTCTCCTGTTTCTTCTTGTGGAAATAAATTTTGATTCAAATGGCCTTTGCAAGCCAGTGAGAGTTTTGATCTCTTAAGGAGCCTGGATAGCTCAACAGACAGAGCACTGTAATTTAACACCAGCTATCTGCAATTAAAGTAAGATCGAATCTCGCCAGGCTCAAGGTTGACTCAGCCTTCCATCCTTTCTAAGGTAGGTAAATTGAGGACCCAGTTTGTGGGGGCAATAAGCTGACTTTGTATAAATATACAAAAGTATGAAGGCTATTGCTTAACGCACTGTAAGCCGCCCTGAGTCTCCAGAGAAGGGCGGCATATAAATCAAATTAAAAAAAAAAAAACCTGTTAGCTTATCTGGGTTCTGGATCAATCACACTGATTAACTCCTCTCTCTCTCCTTTTTCTTGCTAAGGATAGAGAGCAAGAATACTGAATTCTAGGTTTCTCTTCTTTCCTTGTCTCTTAAGAGTCCTTTGCCAGGTGGCATGGTGATAGAGCGTTCTACTGATTTTGGCAAAACCTGGAAGATCTATCAGTACTTATCCACAGACTGTTCTACTATTTTTCCCCGCATCCCCAAGGGCTTGCCTCAGAAGTGGCAGGATGTCCGTTGCCAGGACATACAGAGTCAACATAGACAACCTCAGAATGGAGGAAAGGTATTGTAAATGCAGTTCTCTTTGGGTTAAGATTACATGGGAGTTATTAATCTCCAAGTTACAGTATCATATGTATATGTGTATGTACTGAACACACACACACACACATGTTTGTGTGTGTGTGTGTATCTATATAAATTGTATCATATTAGTTTACAATACTACATGCGTTTATACACTGCTGCATCAAATTTCAGGCAGTTGACAAGAACTATGCAATAAAAACGTAACAAAACCACAAGGAATAACAGTCTTGGGGCAACCATCCAGAAGTACTGTCTCTAGGTCAGTGATGGCTAACCTTTTTGCCATCACGTGCCAAAAGCGGGGGGAGTGCAGGGGGAGTCACACGCACACATGCCCACATCTATAATTCTATGCGCCCCGTGTCCCTCCCCGCTTTTGGCACGTGATGGCCCAGTAGGCCCGTTTTTCACTCTCCCCAGGCTCCAGAGCCTTTCTAGGAGCCTGGGGAGGACAAAAACAGCCTTCCCCACCTCCCCAGAGGCCCTCCGGAGTCAAGAAACAGCATGTTTCCTGACTTCTGGTGGGCCCAGAAGGACCGAAAATCAGCTGGCCGGCTCACACGTGCGTGCCGGAGCTGAGCTCGCGTGCCCACTGATATGGCTCCACATGCCACTTGTGGCACCCGTGCCATAGGTTCGCCATCATGGCTCTAGGTTTTCAGTTAATTTATTCATTTTGAAAACAGCCATCAAGCAGACCTCATTCTTGCCCTATGAAAGAAATTGCTTTTCATCATCCAGGGGTGTAGTTTTGTTATTCTAAGCAGAGTGAGAAACAACCTAGAACTAAGGAGAAGTTTCTTAACAGTGAGAGCAATAAACCTATGGAATAGCTTGTCTCCAGAAGTTGTGGGTGCTCCATCACTGGAGGTTTTTAAAAAGAGACTGAACAGCCACCTGTCTGGAATGGTATGGTAGGTCTCCTGTTTGAGTAGAGGGTTGGACTAGAAAACCTTTAAGGTCCTTTCCAACTCTATTATTCTATGTTGTATGAGTCTTGTGACTGGAAGCCGCTTTCTGCAAATCACTTGTGCCATTCATTTGACAAGTCATGCGATTTGCAGAATGAGGCCTTTTAAGATCATAAGAATTAGATGCTGGCATGGAGAACAATGTGGGATGGCTTGGAGAATGTTGCTTGTTCCTGAGAGGTGGGAGAAAAATGGCTGAAGGTGAATGGGATGCGGCAACTTTGCACTGTGCTGGTGGGCTGGGTAGGCAGCTAAGGAATCCCAGGCCATGGCATTTTGTGCCACGCTGTTGGGCTGGATGGGCAGCTGAGTCTTCTAGGGGTGGCTTTTGTTTTGTAGCAGCACCCCAACTTGGAAACAGTGAAGGACTGGACTGTGGTGCCTCTGCCAGTGAAAAATGGAGCTCCTGAACTTCATTTTCAGTGGCAGAAGGTTGCAGGAGGCTGTCCCAGCTGAAAACAGAGCTTGTAAGGGCTGTGCAAGGCCCTCCCCAGCTCCCAGCACCTCACTCACCCCTATGAGGCACCTTAATACTCCTTACCTGGGATTCCATCCACTTAACAGTGTGCAATTCTTCCTCAATGACCACAACCAGGATTGTCAGGATTGTGGCATTCAGCAAAGTGCTTATATGACATCTTACTTAATGGCTGTTCATTCAGCCACCAAGATTCCAGTCCCAATTGTGATCATAAGTCAAGGACTACCTGTGTGTCCAAACTGGGATCAATTGCTTGTTGCTCTCTTAAGAACCAGAAACAAGGGTTTGTAAAGCTAACAGAATCATTAAGTAAAAGTTTCTTACTTTGTTTAATGGTAAGGGAGATCAAATAGGATTGATTGGATAGCTGACACCAGCATATGTGACCAATTGCAATAAGTTGCCATTGTTTAGAATTAGAATTTATCATGACTTGGAGCCATCTCATTGATGACTTTTATAAAAGCAGGATAGAGGAATTCTACTTATGATTTTAATAATTTCTTTCTTTTTTTTTTTGTAAGATTAAGTTCAACCCTGTAGACCTTACATCAGGGATGATGACATCTCAAAGCCAACGAATTAACAGTGAGTTTGGGTTTTTTATGTTAGCTTGGTTTGATATAATTCAAAAGGTGGGTTTGAGATTTATTGGAATATTATAAGAAGCAGAAGTCTATGTTGCTATCTTGAAATTGCTTATGCCTTGACTGTAGATGAATACAATTTTTTTTTACCTTCTTAGAATGGGATCACAGTTAGGTGGTTAAAGGTAAAGGTAAAGGTTCCCCTGCACATGCGTGCTAGTTGTTTTCCGTCTCTAGGGGCGGTGCTCATCTCTGTTTCTAAGACGAAGAGCCAGCGCTGTCCAAAGACATCTCCATGGTCATATGGCCGGCATGATGCAACGCCGAAGGCTCACGGAGCGCTGTTACCTTCCTACCAAAGTGGTCCCTATTTTTCTATTTGCATTTTTACGTGCTTTCGAACTGCTCGGTTGGCAAAAGCTGGGACAAGTAACGGGAGCTCACCCCGTTAGGCGGCACTAGGGATTCGAACCACTGTACTGCCGACCTTCTGATCAACAAACTTGGTGTCTTAGCCACTGAGCCACAGGACACTTGCCTATATTTTTCATAAGTTAACATTTTTTGGTAAAATTGTTCTATTTTGTTTACACATTTGGATAAAAGAATTCTGATGAAGTTATGATTAGAACATGGCAGTTCCATGTTTTCAGTTTTGCTTTAACATATTTTTGTGTTTCCTGTCCCTCCAACAAATGGGCACTCACAATGACAGCCTGCAGAAGTCTGTGCGTTCCTCTGAGACTGTTATGGAGCCAATCAAGCATCCAAGGAAACACTTTCTTTTAATTTTATGGGTAAATAGATTGAATCTGAGTGTAGGAGAGTTAACTAGATTTCCTTTAAGAAGATTTTCCCTGTAGGAAAACTGGGAAGAGGTATGATGGCTGACAACCTAAGATGGATCTAGATTGTGTTATCTGGTGAACATTTTTATTAGTTTTGGTAAAGAACAATGTTTGTGGGTGAACCTGAGGGGACTGAGCAATGTCCACATTTGTCTAAACAAAAAGAAAGCCACTGTCAACCTAAAAGAAAGAATGTCAGCTCTTCTCTAATTTCTAAACAGAGGTAGTTAAAATTTGAGAGGTATACACTGCATGCAAATTAAGCTAATGTCACAACTGGTAAACATTTTCAGTAGACAAAAACAATCTTTAAAACATCTTGAAACACTGTGATTCAATGGCATTGGGGGGGCAGTTTGTCCTTGTATAGGGGTGTCAGACTTGTGGACCATGGGCCGGACGTGTCACATGCTGGCCACGCCCATGCCCATTTTAGTGAAGGGACGCCCCTGTGATGATGCTAGTTTGACACTCCTGCCCTAGTATATAATAATAAGGGATGTGCTGCCAAAGTCATGAGGAGGTTATCAACCAGTGTGGAGTTGAGTTACTGTTGACTGTGTATCAATCTACTGTTGGTGATCGATGGTAGCAGATTAATGATGGATGAAAAAAAATACCTTCAAATTACTTCTGACTCCTGGTGATTGTTCCTTACAGTTTTCTTGGCAGCATTTTTCAAAAGTGACTTGCCAGCTCCTTCTTCCTAAGGCTGAGAATAGTGACTGGCCTAACATCACTCAGCTGGCTTTGTGATTAAGGCAGGACTAGAAGTCTTAAGCCCTACTCTATAAAGTTTTGGCAATGAATGAGGGTGGTATTAAAAATTATCCACAGCTAGATACACCACTGTTGTGATTAATTTCTAAACAGACAGAGGAATCAGGGACTGGGCAATGGAATTCAATCTTCAAGTTGTAAATTATAATTGTAAAACTAGATTGTGAGAGCCAAAAAATGCTATTCGATGTCTTAATAAAAGAGAAAAATACATCAATAAGTGGTGTCACGTTGTGTTTTGCATCACCTTCTGTAAACACACAAAAAACATCTGTGATATGCACCACCAGCTATTTCCTGCACAGCTGCGTGCATAGATTGGGCCTATTTTAGATAAGGAATGTTGGGCACATGCAGTATTATGTTCTGTTATAAATATACCAACTGCTATTTTAAACTCATCTTGTTGTTGTTAGTTGCGAAGTCATGTCCGACCCATCGCGACCCAATGGAAAACATTCCTCCAGGCCTTCCTGTTCTCTGGACTCTTCTGGAGTCCATTTAAGCTCACGTCTACGGCTTCAGTGACTCTGTCCAGCCACATCGTTCTCTATCGTCCCTTTCTTCTTTTGCCTTCAATCTTTCCCAGCATTAGGCTCTTCTTCAGTGAGTCCTTCCCACTCATTAGGTGGCCAAAGTATTTCAGTTTCATCTTCAGGATCTGGCCTTCTAAAGAGCAGTCAGGGTTGATCTCCTCTAGAACTGACCGGTTTGTTCGCCTTGTAGTCCAAGGGACTCGCAGGAGTCTTCTCCAGCACCATAGTTCAAAGGCCTCAATTCTTTGGCGCTCAGCCTTTCTTATGGTCCAACTTTCACAGCCATACATTGCAACTGGGAAAACCGTAGCCTTGACTATAAGCACTTTTGTTGGCAGAGTGATGTCTCTGCTTTTTAGTAAGCTATCTAGATTTGTCATAACTTTCCTCCCCAGGAGCAAGCATCTTTTAATTTCTTGGCTGCAGTCCCCATGTGCAGTGATCTTAGAACCCAGGAAACTAAAATCTGTCACTGCCTCCATTTCTTCCCCAACTATTTGCCAGGAATTGAGAGGGCCGGATGCCATGATCTTAGTTTTTTTAATGTTGAGTTTCAAGTCAACTTTTGCATTCTCCTTCTTCACCCGTATCAAGACGCTCTTTAGTTCCTCTTCTCTTTCTGCCATTAGAGTGGTATCATCTGTATATCTGAGGTTGTTGATATTTCTTAATCTTAATTCCAATTTTTGAGTCATCTAGTCCCGCCTTTCTCATGATGTGCTCTGCATATAAGTTAAATAGGCAGGGTATACAGCCTTGTCGAATTCCTTTCCCAATTTTGAACCAATCAGTGGTTCTGTGTCCAGTTCTCACTGTTGCTTCTTTACCCGCATATAGGTTTCTCAAGAGACAAATAAGATGGTCTGGTACTCCCCTCTCTTTAAGAACTTGCCACATTTTTTTGTGATCCACACAATCAAAGGCTTTAGCATAGTCAATGAAGCAGAAGTAGATGTTTTTCTGGAACTCCCTAGAGTGTGTTGGCAATTTAATCTCTAGTTCCTCTGCCTCTTCGAAATCCTGCCTGTACTTCTGGTAATTCTCGATCCACATAGGGCTGGAGCCTAGCTTGTAGGATTTTGAGCATAACTTTACTAGCATCTGATATGAGTGCAATGGTGCGATAGTTTGAACATTCTTTGGCATTGCCTTTCTTTGGAATTGGAATGTAAACTGACCTTTTCCAATCCTGTGGCCATTGTTGAGTTTTCCAGATTTGCTGGCAAATTGAGTGTAGCACTTTTATTGCATCGTCTTTTAAGATTTTGAATAGCTTAGCTGAAATACTGTCACCTCCACTAGCTTTATTCTTGCTCAGATTTCCTAAGGCTCATTTCACTTCACATTCTAGGATGTCTGGCTCGAGGTCAGTGACCACCCCATCTTGGAGTGAACTTACCAGGGATGTTAAGTTCATTCTCGTATAGTTCTTCCAGTGGTGAAATGTAAAATTTGTTACTACTGGTTCTGTGGGCGTGGCTAGGTGGGGGCGGGTAATGTGACTGGGTGGGCATGGCCAAACTTTTTTTAAAATTTTTAAAAGCATTTTTTCTACAATCTCTTTGGTCAAAGAGGTTGTAAAAAATGCTTTTAAAAGCCTCTGATGATCAGGAAACTCAGCTGGGATTGTCAGACGCTTTTAAAAGCATTTTTTTCTACAATGTCTTCGGCTGAAGAGTTTTTTTTTTCTTTTAAAAGCATTTTTTCAGCTGAAAGGCTGTAGAAAAAATGCTTTTAAAAGTAAAAAGTAAAAAGTAAAAGTGGCTTCCGGTGTCCCGATATAGCCAGCTGGTGCCATTGCTGGCTATTGGGGGCAAAACACTGGCCCCCACGGAGAGGGCTCGCAACTTAGGCATCCTCCTGGACGCACGGCTGTCTTTAGAAGAGCATATGACGGCTGTGGCCAGGGGCCTTTTTATCAGGTTCGCCTGATACGCCAGTTGCGTCCCTTTCTGGATCGGGACTCCCTACGCATGGTCACTCAAGCACTTGTCACTTCCAGCCTGGACTACTGCAATGCTCTCTACATGGGGCTCCCCTTGGGGTGCACCCGGAGGCTGCAGTTGGTCCAGAATGCGGCCGCGTGGGGGATTATGGGAGCGACGGGGCACTCACATATAACACCTCTCCTGCGTGAGTTGCACTGGCTTCCTGTGGTCTTCCGGGTGCACTTCAAGGTGTTGGTGACCACCTTTAAAGCGCTCCATGGCTTAGGGCCAGGGTATTTGCGAGACCACCTTCTGCCGCCAATAGTCTCCCACCGACTGGTTCGCTCGCACAGAGAGGGCCTCCTCAGGGTGCCATCGGCCAGGCAGTGCCAGCTGGCGACCCCCAGGGAGAGAGCCTTCTCTGTGGCAACACCTGCCCTCTGGAATGACCTGCCCCCTGAGATACGCACGATATCAGACCTCCGGACTTTTCGTCAGGCCCTGAAGACACACTTGTTCCATCTAGCTGGGCTGGCTTGATCCCATCCTTTCAGTTTTTTAATCAAATTCAGTTTTAATTGGGTTGTTTTAAATTTGGGCCAAAATTATTTAATTGTTGTTTAAAATGTTTTTAAATTTTATATGCTATGTTTTATCCTGGCTGTACACCGCCCTGAGGGGGGGGGGAGAGCAGGGATTTTTGCTACCGGTTCTCCGAACCACCAGCCGCCATCACTACCGGATCAGGTGATCCAGTCCTAACCGAGAGCATTTCACCCCTGAGTTCTTCTGTGTAATTTTGCCACCTCTTCTTAATTTCTTCTCCCTTTGTTAAGTTCCTGCTATTTTGGTCCTTTATCATGCCCATCTTTGCATGAAATGTTCCCTTCATATCTCCAATTTTCTTGAAGAGATCTCTGGTCCTCCTATTCTATTGTTTTCTTCTATTTCTTTGCACTGTTCATTTAAGAAGGCATTCTTATCTCTTCTAGCTATTCTCTGGAATTCTGCATTCAACTGGGTATATCTTTCTCTTTCTCTCTTGCCTTTCACTTCCCTTCTTTCCTCAGCTATTTGCAAAGCTTCCTCAGACTGCCATTTTGCTTTCTTGCGTTTCTTTTTCTTTGGGATGGTTTTAGCTGCTATCTCTTGTACAATGTTGCGAACCTCCATCCATAGTTCTTCAGGCACTCCGTCTATCAGAACTAATTCCTTAAATCTATTTGTCACTCTACTGTATATTCATCAGGGATATGATTTAGTTCATACCTGAGTAGCCTAATGCTTTCCCCTACTTTCTTCAATTTAAGCCTAAATTTTGCAACGAGAAGCTCATGATCTAAGCCACAGTCAGCTCCTGGTCTTGTTTTTACTGACTGTATAGAACTTCTCCATCTTTGGCTGCATAGCACATAGTCATTCTGATTTCTGTGTTGACTGTCTGGTCATGTTCATGTGTAGAGTCGTCTCTTGGGTTGTTGGAAAAGAGTGTTTGCTATGACCATCGTATTCTCTTGACAAAATTCTATTAGCCTGTGCCCTTGTTATTCAAGTTATCTTTTGGCTACCTACTTTAGCATTCCAATCCCTCATAATGATAAGGACATCATTTTTTGGTGTTAAAGGTGCTGTAGGGCTTCATAGAGCCAGTCAATTTTATCCTCTTCAGCACCAGTGGTTGGGCATAGACCTGGACTATTGTGATATTGAATGGTTTGCCTTGGATTTGAAGTGAGATCATTCTGTAATTTTGGGGATTTTATCCCAGTATTGCTTTTCCTATTCTTTTATTGACTATGAAGGCTACTCCATTTCTTCTGAGGGAATCTTGCCCGCAGTAGTATACCTGATAGTCATCTGAATTAAATTCACCTGTTCCTGTCTATTTTAGTTTGCTGATTCCTAAGATGTCGATGTTCAGTCTTGTCATCTCTTCTTGCTTGCCTTGATTCATGGATCTTACATTCCAGGTTCCTATGGAGAAAAGCATTTGCAGCATCGGACTTTCCTTTCACCACCAGATACATCCACTGCTGAGCGTCTTTTGGCTTTGGCCCAGTTGCTTCATTCTTTCTGGCACTACTAATACTAGCCCTCTGCTCTTCCCCAGTAGCATATTGGACACCTTTCGACCTGACGGGCTCATCTTCTGGCATCATATCACTTTTCCTTTTGGTACTATCCATGGGGTTTTCATGGCAAAGATACTGGAGTGGGTTGCCATTTCCTTCTCCAGTGGATCACGTTTTGTCAGAATTTTTTGCCCTGCACGGCATAGCTCATAGCTTCATTGACCTATGCAAGCCCCTTCGCCATGACAAGGCAGTAATTTATGAAGGGGAAACTCATCTTAATACCCTTGAAAAAGCTTTTCTCCAAAACAATATTGCACTGGAGCTGTGGGCATTGCATCTATTTGCTTGGACACACATATGTCTGTGCAGTATTTATTTTTGTGTGTATACCACACTTGTGTATACATGCATGCATGCATACATGGCTATTGAGACTCAATAATGATCCTATTCTTTCTCCCAAGAATTGTTCCACAAATAATATTAACCTGACTGTCCCTGTCCATATGGTCCTTGATGACATAGCTAAAGAACTTGGATTTTATTTTGCCTACTTGTCCCAGCATTCTATTTATTTCTCCCTTTTTCATCCGAAATAGATCTGGCTGAATTCACCAACCTGAGAATCAACTTCACACAGTTGACCCGTTTTCCACATCAGGGATACCGTTTACCCAGTGCTTTCTATGCCTTAAATGAGATGCAGGTCCAAGGCAGCTGTTTCTGTCACGGGCATGCAGACCGCTGTGCTGCCTCTGATGCCTCTTCTGGACAGCCCAGAGTTATGGTGAGAGAGCGAGAGCGAGAGAGAATGCTTTTTTTTCCTAATGTTATTAAACTTAACAAAGTATAAAATACAAATGAATATGAAAATAGTGGGAAAATGTGGGAAAGGGAAATGGGGAAAGAGAGAAATATATAGTGAAGGAGGAAAAAAAAGAAGAAAAGTATTGATTTCTAAGAGCTGAAGAAGGTTCTTGAATGAGAAGTGAAATGTCTTCAAAGAAAAACCAGAAAGTCCAGTTGCCTCTTGAAAAAAGCACTTTTGGGACACTGACTTCTAACTTTTTTAGTACAGTAGTATAAAATAATAACATTGTCTCAACTTTTTACTTTTACATACTTAATATGTATTAGCCATTTCTATAACAAACTTAACTAATCAGCAAAACTCAAAGTCAAAGTTTCATTTTTTTCCCCATCACAAAATCCAGAAGTGGTTTCCAAGCAGAAACAAAATGTATTATTTTCTTTTATTAGAGCAGGCAATTTAGTCATCTCTGCTAATTCCATCAATTTTTCCAGTCATTCATCCAGTGTGGGAAGAAACGTAGCTTTGTATAACTTTCTAGGTTCTCATTTCATTTTTGGGAGTCTGTGCTGCAACCTGATCTCTTAGTGACAGATATGGTTCTACAAGTTTCTGCAGGTGTGCACTAATGTGCTAGAAATACTTTGTGTTTTTGAAAAGCAGAGAAAATTTCCTGCATTGTGCGGTGTCTAATTGTCAGAGGGGATAGTTTTTCCTTTATATCAATCAAGACTGATTTCAGAAACACTTTGGCCCAGTGCAGGATTTAGTCTGATTCAGAACGATTTCTGACTATCTTAAAACTTCGTGCCCACCAGTTTAGCTAGGTTCCTGCCTTGACTTTCCTACTGCCAAGGTTTAGACAAAAGTTCAAGTGTTTGCTTAATATTTAATTTGTTATATAGTTGAACACAGACATCTAGAAAAGACAGGTAATCAGGAACTGGTACCTGCAGGGAAGAGACTTACCTGCTTTCTTTACCCTTCACTCAATAGGACTTTCTTATATTCAGTGTTTATGGTTTGGGGCAGAAGAGATGAGGAGAATTCAATTTCCAGTCAAGTTGGAAATGCTCCAAAGAGCATCAAGGTTAAGGATGGTCAAATTTTAAGCTTACCAAAGTTTGTTAGTACTGTAAGGAAAAATTAAAGGCGGGTTTTGAGACCACCTCCCTGACCTGCGCCCTCCCTCTTACTATTTTGCAGCTGCTGCTGACATTCTGGCTTTTACACCGACAAAAATCTTTATAGTTTAGTCTTGCATCAAATTGGTAAAGATCAGAAGCAGAAAAGAAAGTTGGAAGGAATCTGAATAGCTGTAGACATCTGCGAAGGCTCATCCACTAAAAGATCTCTCTATATGTATATATATGTGTGTGTGTGTGTGTGTATATATATATATATGTATGTATGTATGTATGTATGTATGCAAGTCTTTGCGTATTCGGGTCTTTTCCCATGGATTTTCACCTGTACCCGTGAAAATCTATGAAAACATATATATGTATATAAGTGTGTGTGTGTGTGTGTGTGTGTGTGTGTGTGTGTATGGTTATCTTGTTCATATGCTCCTTTTTCTTTCTTTTCATCATTTCACATTATGGTCGGAAGGACAGAAGGAACATTAGCTAGACAAGATGGTGGGCTTCTTATGGGAAGAACCTCAAAATTTCCCTTCATTTAGTAGCTTTTTGAATCTGCGCTACTGAGAGGATTGCATATTTTTTGTTTTTCTGATCAGGTATGGACTAGGCTTGGTAACAATGCCTTCTAGGGCTAAATAGTTTGGCATTCAGACTTAAATATGAACTGTGAGAAACAGCATCTGACTTACACAAAAAGCTCTTTGTATTAGCAGAGCTGGAAAGTAATCTTGCAAACAAGCCAAAATGGAACTTGTTCTCTGCCAAATTAGGCTGAAAGAGACACAATGTAAGGAGCAAATGAGTGTGAGAAGCAACTATAGGGCAACAGCAGCAGGAGAAGTTGCCATGCTACTAAAACTAGATTTTCTTTACATTCTAGGTTCATGGGCGTTGTGTATGCCAACACAATACTGCTGGGCCAAACTGTGATCAATGTGCATCTTTTTACAATGATCAGCCATGGAGACCTGCTGAAGATGATAATCCTAACGAATGTCATAGTATGTATGCCTATCTGATTTCCCAGGAAAATATTTATTTAATAAAGCTTTCCAAAAATATAGGTAGCATTCCTAAATAAATTGGTATATGTTGTAATTGCAGAAAACTTTGCAAGTATTAGTTGTATGACATACAGAATCAGAAAAAGGGAAGATCATGAAAAGGTAACTGAACATAGACATAACCAACATTTAAAACTTTCAGAATGCTGAGATATATTAGAAGAGGCATTAATTTATATACACATCTTAAACTTTCTTAATTTTTAACATTGATGGATATTTTATTTTCTCTTTTAAATGTTGCTATTGATTTTTATTGTTTTATTTTTACTTATCATACTGCCTTGGTTTCTTAACACAAAATTATGTATGTTTGTATGTTTGTGTGTCTCTCTCTGTCTCTGTTTGTCTCTCTGTCTCTCTCCTTTTGAAGAAATGTTGCACTAAACTTGTATTTTAAACTTGGCAGCTTTAAGAGCTGTGGACTTCAATACCCAGCATGAATATCGCTTTGCTCTTTAATAAGCATTTTCTGTCATTTTTTGGCAGTCTAGAAAAATAAACTTGCTGTTACTTTAAAGATTTAGAATTGGTGCTTAAGGTTCCAGGCTAGAAAAAGGACACTGTAAATTCTAGTTTCACTTTACATATGAAAGCTGGCTGGGTAATTTTGGGCCCAACTCAGCTCACAGAGTTGTTGTGAGGAAAATAGAAGGATGGAGGAGTATTGTGTTTGTTTGTCTCTTTGAGTTATTTATAAAAACAAAGATAAGGAATAAACTTTAAGGAGAGAACTCCTCAAAATGTGACACTTCAGGATCTTGTAGAAGCCTGGAAAAATATCAGCCAATGTTAGCAGAGTGATACCATGTTCATGCTATCATTAAGTCTGAAACACTTCTGAATTACTTTCAAAGCATACACAGCAAACCCTAGTTTTCCTCTGAGAAACCAAAACGATATGCCAAACTAACTATAGCATTCCACCACATTCTATAATAATAAGTTACCAAGCTTTGGTTTATGCTGACATCATCATCAAACATTTTTGCAGGTCTTTGTGGAAACAAAGGGTTGGTAATGTGATATTTACAGTTGCCATGTCATCCTAATTCCCCATCAAGATAATGTCCAGCATTCAGATTAAGTACATTTAATTTAAGTTTTTTTTAAAAAAAGATGGTTGAGGTTTGCTAGCTTTCAAATCTTATGAGAATACCAAAGATTTGGTGATTTTATGAGAATATATTCATTTTAATTTCTATTTTTTCTATTTCTATTTTATCATGTGTACTATAATTCTCCTGTATTATCTACAACAAAGGTCTGGGGAATCACAGGATAGAAAAATAAGTTCAGAAAACATATTAGAGTAGTTACATTAATTACAATATATATTTCCTCAGTGATTATGGAAAAGGAATGATTAAGTAAAAATTAGAAATCAACAAAATGCACATGTTAGTTAAGTATAAACACAAATTCAAGTTATGTGCTTTAAGAAAAAATCACAAAAATTGGTACCCTGGATTAAGGCAGTATGTGTGTGAATGTATGTAAAGTTATAGATATTTCTATTAAGTTTATTTATTGTAGGGTTATTATATTTGGGTTGCAACATTCTAGATAAGCATAAGATGCCAACAGATTTCTGTGTATGGGCTTCAATATTGTGTGATCCAAATATTTGCAGCCCAGATCTAATAACCCTGATTTTCCTCTGATAGGTTGTGTGTGTGTGTGTGTGTGTGTGTGTGTGTGTGTACTTCTATTATCGATAAAGAGACCAAGGTGCCATCTAGTGTTGAAACTGAAAAGTTAAAAACACCATTCTTTTTACTGAGCATCACATGAGTTGTTACTCTTTTCTCTTTTAGGATGCAATTGTAATGGACATTCCCACAAATGCCATTTTGACCAAAGTGTATACCAAGCAAATGGGGGAAAGAATGGGGGTGTATGTGAAGATTGCCAGCACAACACAGCAGGGAAGAACTGTGAACTTTGCAAAATAAACTTCTTTCGTAACCGGCGGTTTGATCTTGGCCATCCAGAAGTCTGTCAGCGTAAGTGGTGTTTAAGCCTTCTCCCAATTTCATAACATATTTTCCCAGAATACGTTTTATTGATAAAAACTTCAGAAAAACACACATTCTCTTTGTTTTAAAAGTTCTTTTTAAATTTATTCAAAGCAAACAAGCAAAGAAATGGCAAAAGAAATAGAAATATAAAATTCCAGGAAGCTCTTGGCAAAGTGATTTTTCTCTTTCAAGTAACCAACTCTGTAGAAACAACACTGAAGTTGCTGCTGCTGCTGCTGATTATTATTATTATTTATTGAATTTGTATACCGCCCTACTCCGGAAGGACTCAGGGCGGTGAACAGCCAGATAAAATACATATAATACAAATGTTAAAAAGCATTAAAATACAATTAAATAATTTGGCCCGGAAAACAAAATTTAAAACAACACCCCAAATTCTTAAGACAGATTTAAAATTTAAAAATTTTTAAAAGTTTAAAAGTTTAAAAGAGAGGTTAGGCCAGGCCGGCCTGCTGAAAAAGAAATGTTTTAATGGCACGGCGAAAAGCGCGTAGGTCCGGGATCCTCCGTATCTCCGGGGGGAGCTCGTTCCAGATGGCAGGTGCCCCCACGGAGAAGGCTCTCCCCCTGGGGGCCGCCAGTCGACATTGTTTGGCCGACGGCACCCTGAGGAGCCCCTCTCTATGGGAGCGTAACTACATTGAATTTCTGATGGGAGCTCCTAACTTCATGATGGCAAACCTATGGCATGCGTGCCAGAGGTGGCAGAACCCTCTCTCTGCTGGCACGCGCACTGTTGCCCCAAGTCAGATCTCTGTGGCATTTATTTTGTGCGTTTCTGTTTCCCTGCAAATGATGAAACAGAAGGACACAACAGAAAAAGATCTTAACTGTTGCCGCACTGCCAGTGTTGGGATGCCCCATCTCCCGCCGTCCAGCTGGTCTTGGGTCTCTGTTGTGCATGCGTGCATGTCCGTGCATGCACATGTGCATGTCCGTGCATGCACATGTTTGCACATGTCCACGCATGCGCACATTCACGTGCACCTTTCAGTTTGGGCATGGGCATGCACATGCAGTTTGGGCACTCGGTGTCTAAAAGTTCGCCATCATTATCCTAACTGCTTCTTTCTGAAGACAGTTCTCAGATTTTCCTAGGAAATAAGGATGATTTGAACTGACTTAAATCTGAAAATACACTCAAGATTCCTTCTACATATTCCTGTTTCTCTTTCTTTCACCTCTCTTCTTTAGAACCAATTTTAGGATAGTTTAATTATTGATGTATTTTTTGTTGTGGTTTTATTTTATATTTCACTTGTAGCATCCTACTTTGGTGGCCGCATAATAGAAAAGTATTTTTTTCCTTTTCTATTGCAAAACAAAACGAAGCATTCAAAAATAGTCTGGCCTAATTTGAGAGACGTGGTGCACCAATTACAATAAAGGAAAGAGAAAACCAAATTTAGTTACAAGCCACTGACTAACTTGTGAATGTTATTCATTCATTCATTCATTCATTCATTCATTCATTCATTCATCCATCCATTCATTCATATGTTGTTTTCACGCCAACCAGTATGGGCCAATTTTAAATCACTATCAGATAGATCACTAGTGGTTGTTCTTAATCTAATTAAGAATAGTTGCAGAATGGAGTGGAAACACATCAGGCAAGATGAGTGTGACTCACCAGCATTCCTTCCAACTGGCTAATTCTCCCAAAAAAAGGGTAAATGTATAAATGTCTTTTCTGTTGCCAACCCAACCCTGGTTTTCCTAGATGAGCTCAGGATCATAATTCATTTTGCCATTGCCCACCTGCCTACTTTGCTTCCTTAGTTCTTTATTAAGATTAGAAGATACATGATGAGGAACACTACTGCACTCTACAATGCGTATTATAATATCTGTAAGTCTTTATCACTAATGAGTAAAGCATCTTTGGCTCTCTTTCAGCTCATTATTATTGTCTTTTTGGCCTGCCAAGCTTGGACATGAGGCCTTGTTCCATATCAGAATTGTTGTTTTTTTAAAAAAATACAAGAATATGCAGTCACATTTACACCTTAGAAGGGCAAGTAAAAGAAATAAAGGGAGAAATTAAGAATAATAAATTCCCATATAAAATTCCAAACTGTTCTTTAGTTTGATGTTGTTTCAACAATAGGGCTGCAACTTTTAAAAAGTTATAGTTTTAACTTCTTTCTTTTCAGCTTGTGAGTGTGATCCAGATGGCACTGTTCCTGATTCTAGCTGTGACCACATGGACGGTCGTTGCGTCTGTAAGGACAATGTGCAAGGAGACCGTTGTCATCTTTGCAAACCTGGCTTTACTCAGTTGACCAACTCTAACCCCCAAGGTTGCAGAGGTAGGTTGAAGCCTGAAATAGATCAAGACGATCTATTGCAATGTAAATGACTCGAACCATTTCATGAAGTGGGTGACATTGGCATTAGAAGACCATGACAAACCAATGACACCCTCATTGTGACAAGATGCAGGCCTTATCCTCAGCATGTGATATAAATGGTCTAATACTGATCTTTTGTGTACCACAAATCAACCAATATTATTTCTTTAAAATGTACAGTACTTGGAGAAAGCTTTAAGATGTACAAATCTCTTCATTAGGAACAGAAGGAAAAGAAGTTTGCATGATTCAAATGTTAAGATGTAGTCCCCCAGGCTATATCAGGAGATATGCAGGGTTTAGGTTATCCTATGAATTATTGAGAAAAGGAAGTGGTTGAGTCTTCCATTTATTAATGTTAAAATCTACTGTGATTTGTATTTGTTTCCAGCATTAGATAACACACACACACACACACACATTCCTTATAAAATGCTCTCTCTATATATATTATATATTATAAAAATTCTCATAAAATGCTCTCTCTCTATATATTATATATATATATATGCTCTCTCTATATATATTATATATTATATATATATGCTATATATATATATATATATATGCAAGTCTTGGTGTATTGTTATATATATATATATATAACAGTTCTTCATTGGGGAGAAATTGACCATTTTGATTTCCCTTTTCCATATTTTCAGTTATTTTTAGCTCATTGGCCAGTTTAGAAAGTTAGAATATGCGAGATTAGAAAATTAAGTTTTGCTTATGAGATTGTGTGTACTCCCTTAATGAGTTTGCAATTATACAATAAATATAGAATGTACTGTGGATACTGAAGCCCACTTTAGAACAAGAAAAGGTGACCTATTTTTTTCACATAGCCAGGCCAAGTGATTAAATGGTTTAGAAAAAAAAAAGAGGGAAAAAGGCACATACAATTGTTATTGGTTAATAACTACAACTGCACCTTAGAAGATATCCATATATATTTTTTTGCTTGAGAAAAGCCGGCAAAAAAGTCATCCAAAAAGGGAGAAAATTGGAACCAACCTTCCAGTCACCTTTGCAAGTGGCTGGGAGGAATGTAAATATCTGGAGGATGTCAGATCAACATCTCCAGTAGAGCTGCCAATGCATGGAGTTGAGATAAGTAGGTAGAAGCGGGGGGGGGGATGTCTTGCTCAGTTGTGTTGTGCATAGATGGCTAATAGAAATTCCTTGTTGGTAAATAATGTCCCAAAGATGCTTTTCAAAAGGCAATTGGACTTCCTTGGTGTTTTCACTTCTAATCCAAGGAGATTCAGTCGGAACTGAAGAAGCTTCTTGGCTGAGAAGCGAAATATTTTCAAGGAAAAAACCGAGAAAGTCCAGCTGCCTTTAGGACAGCCATGACCTGTATGATTGAGAATTTCCGTAGACATTTGTAAATAATGGTTTGTAGCTTTCTATGTTATACAAACTCAGACAATTGTAACTTACTTAATAAACAACTCATGAAGAAATGTGTGAATCAGGCCATAGCTTCACCACTTTAGATTTGCAATAGACATTAAATCTAATCTCGAAGTGGTTTTGTCTTTTAAAATTTCAAAATTGTCAATTCTACTTGCATTCATATTTGCAGATCCAGATGTTTTTTTGCCAGGGTTCAATAGTGAGAACTTGGGTTTCTGATTTAAGATGAGCTTCAGTTTACTAAACTAATTTCACTTCTTACCTGTAAATTTTAGAATGACTCTCATTCAAGCAGCATCAATCTTTTGTGCAAAGGTTGTTTTGATGTGAACTTCAGTCAAGTCACAAGCAGTAGCCATATATGAGCAATAATGCCATTCTTCAGTTACTCCCCAAGAGATGGCAGTAAGCAACTGTTAAATTGGATCAGGCAAACAGTAACATAAAATCCCAGCAATTGTTTTCCTCCTAAAAGCCTGGCTTCTCATCTACCCTATTAAATTAAGAGGGAAAAAAAGTTTCAATCTAAATGCCATAATACAGTAACTGGTTAGTAGAGCATGCACACAAACATCATTCCTACTCTCAGTTTGAAACTCTTCTCCAGATACCAACATTTATAATTCTTGGATTGGAGATATCAGTATTTGTGTTTTATAATGGTCGTCTTCAATCTGAAGTGCAAGTCCCCGCAACCCCCTCAGATTGAAGCTCCAGAAGTAGATGTAACTATCTTGGTTGTTCCTTCTGCTCAACTCCATATTTTATAGGAAAGCTAAAGCAAAAAATAATGTAGCTGGGAAAATGGGGATCCTGGAATTAATGTTCCAAATTTATTTCCTGGAAGAACTATACAGCATATTACTCCTCCATCAAACTGTTCTAATCCCTTTCCAAAGGGCATCTAAACTCATAGAAATAACTATGGTGTGGCAATGAATTTCACAAATTCAGTGCAAGGAGCAATAGTGTAAAGGGGGAAGACAGCCTGAAAAATAGCTCTTTTGTCACCTTTGACTATATTCTAGAACTGTGTCTCTTCAGTCTGATACTATTTTGTATCAGAAAGCTTCAATACTTCTCCCCCTCTTCCTTTCAGCAGTTCTGACAAGGCAACTGGCTCTATTTTGTTTTTCAGACTGTGCCTGCAACATCCTGGGCAGTCGCAGAAATGTGCCCTGTGATGATGAAACTGGACGCTGTTTCTGCCTTCCTAATGTGGTGGGAGAGAAGTGTGATGAGTGTGCGGTGAATCACTGGAAAATTGCAAGCGGGGAGGGCTGCCGGCCTTGCAACTGCCACCCTCAGAATTCGCTCAGCCTTCAGTGCAACCAGGTATCCACTGCAAAGAAGAAAGAGAGCAACTGCTTTGAATTCATGAGGGTGGGAAGGCAGAGAGGAATATGAAACCATCGCAATTCACAGCTCCATTAGCTGGGCACTCAACAGTCTGTTGCTGAGAGGAGGACGCTGTTTTGTTCTTCTGCTACAGAAGCTTCTAGATGATGCTGAATCCTCCAGTCTCATCCACATAAAATTTACAGGAATAATTTTTTTGAAAAGACCACTCCTTTGAGGTTTTCCCATGCTATCTTTCATTCCTTCTGTTTAGCATAGTTATTCCATTGAGGGGTGGGAGGTAGAAAAGTTACCAACTAGAAGCCTGGCATCTTAGAATATCTTTTCTTAGACTTTATTGTTTATGAGAGCGTGATGGAATGTCTAACAACCTTGGGAACATAAAGAAAGGAGGAAGATATTACAGAGACAAGTTCTGGGGAGTGAAAAGTGTGAGAAAGAGCCTAAGAATGCTAGATATAAGTAGCTCTGTAGAACTGTTTTGACAGGCTTTCAAAGATTCCGTGTCTCCTCAATCTGATACATTTACTAGAATAAAGATCATTCCAGAAATCCAAGTGTTTCTTATTTCCTGAGTTTGCCAGTCTCAGATGCTTGATAGGTTCCTAGAAGCATTCAAACAAGATGGCTTCTGGTCCCCCTCCCCTTGAGAACAAACATGGAAGAACTGCTGGTGCCATCTGCAGCTCTGTACCTCAGATGGCAGCTTTGATGTAGGTTATGTTACTGAAGTTCCTAGCTGGAAGAAATGTGCCTGAATAGGCTTTGTATTAAGCACATGGAACTTGGGATTCATTTAAAGCTTAGGAGCCATTTAATATTTAAACTTTTCTACTGCTTTTCCAGTTAAACTCTTCTACTGCTTTTTCAGTGTAATGGAATTGTAACTCCTCCTCTTCAGACTGGCTTCAAAAGACTGGCCTGGCTAATTCATAAAGCAATCCTACTTCCAAATCTGGTTGAGAAAATCTGGGTTAATCTGAAAGACATACATTGTTGTGATGACTGAACTTCAAAATCAAGCAAGGATTTAAATGCAGATGCCTCTTGTTCCAAATCCAACACTAGGCATGGAAAAAAACTTTACCTACCAGAAGATCCTGCTTTCTTCTGTAACACAGCTTGAGCTTTATCTTTCAAGTCCTTTCTGGCCTGTTCTGTTGACCACTCTGTTGCTGAAGTCATATTTTCTGCAATCGAGTTTGGAGCAGTTCACTTTAAGTTTGTATCTATTGTGTGCTTGTTTATTGTTGTGGTTGAAGCTGAAGTAGTCATTGACAGGTAGGACATTGTAAAAGATAATTTTATGAGCTACGCTTAGATCATACTGAAGATGGTGTAGTTCTACGTTTTCTAGGCCCAGAATTTCAAATCTGGTGGCATAAAGTATTTTGTTGCGAGCAGAGGAGTGGAGGACTCTACTTGTGAAATATTACTGGATCCATTCGATTCTATTAATGTCCGATATCAGTGCAGGTTCCATACAGATGAGCTGTATTCGAGAATTGGTCTAGCAAATGTTTTTTATGCTCTGGTTAGTAGTGTGATATTGCCGGAGAAGAAGCTATGCAAGATTAGATTTACAACTATTAATGCCTTTTTGGCAATGTTGTTACAGTGGGCTTTGGCACTTAAATCATTTGATATGAGTACTCCAAAGTCCTTGACAGAGTGAGGGTCATCTAAAAGGTCATGTACACACAGCTTGTATTTTGTGTTCTGATTCTTTTTGCCAATGTGTAAGACAGAGCATTTGTTGGTTGAGATTTGGAGTTGCCAATTGTTTGATCATTCCAACACAAAGTCAAGGTCTTTTTGGAGGGTAGCAACATTGTTGGTGGTGTTAAATATTTTTATATCATCGGCAAAGAGGACGCAGTTGCTTATAATATGATCACAAAGATCATTTATGTATAGTATGAAGAGTTTGGTCCTAGAATGCTGCCTTGGGGGACACTGCTATTTACAGATGCAGGATTTGATAGGGGGCTGTCTATTTTGACCACTTGCTTTCTGTTTGACAGGAACACAGCTATCCAATTATGAATGGGTCCGGAGATGTCATAGGATTTTAGTTTTAGAAGTAGTTTGTCATGTACCACTGAATCAAAAGCTTTACAGAAGTCTATGTAAATTGCATCTATTGCTTTGCCCTGATCGAGATTTGTGGTCCATATGTTTTTGCAGTGTAGAAGTTGTAGATTACAGGATATTTTTTTTCTGAAACCAAATTGTTTATTAGAGAGTAGGTTGTTTGTTTCTAGGTGGAGAGTAATGGATTGGTTAATGATTGATTCCATGATTTTGCAGGTGACACAACATAATGAGATTGGTCTGTAATTTTCAACTAGGCTAGGGTCTCTCTTTTTGAAGATAGGAATGACCGTGGCTAATGACCATAGGTTGGGTAGGGAGCTGGTCCTGAAGGATTTTTCAAAGATTATGCTTAGGGGTTCTGCTATAGCATTGGAAAGCTTTTTTAAGAAGTATGCACATAGTCCATTAGATCCGATAGATAGAGATGAATTTAGTCTGCATAGTGCCTTTTCAACATTATCTTGTGTGAAATCTACTTGTGTTAGATTGTTGTAGTTATTAGTGGTATGACTAGGGAATGTTGAGCATGAGCCACTGCTGTTTACAAAGACTGAGCTGAAGAGTGTGTTAAAGAGGGTTGCTTTAACTGCTTCATCATTGCATTCTTTACCATTAGGTCCTTTTAGGGGTGGGATGGATCTCGAGTCTTCAAGTTTGTTGTTTACAAAATTATAGAAGGCGTGGTTGGATTTTGTGCACAGAAGATTTTCTTCTTGTTTGATGTGGTAATTGGTGCATTCAGTCTTTATTTGGTGGCATATATTTTTGTAGCGGCTTTTAAAATTGGCTACATAGCCAGTTTTGTTTTTCCACCAGAGGCATTTTTTTTTTTTTGGATTGGAACTTTCTGATTGATATGGGTAATTTATTTTTCCTGGTTTTGGTGGTGATTTGTGGTACATATAGTTTAATAACTATATTATTAATTATTATTCATAATTATATTATAATTATTAATAAAATAATTATTAATAATTATTGGACAAAGCTTGGTAGTTCTGTGTTGATGTCTTTTCCTCAGTGACATTTCTATTTTTCTTTGTAGTTTACAGGGCAATGTCCATGCAGGGAAGGCTATGGTGGACCGACATGCTCTTCTGTTGAAGTACAGGAATGTCCACACCAGACATTTGGAAATGTTAGGACTGGATGTAGAGGTATGGAAAGTCGGACAGATCTGCTTGGAGACTTTTGTGTATTTAATTGCTAACCATCTGTCCTCAATATCAGTATTTTTCTATTGACATCTGTTTCTCCTCTAATTCTTACCAGAGATTTGTAACCATTTCCTTTCCTTCTGACTTCCTCCTACTTTTTTAGCTTATTTCATAATTTTCTTAGTATTCCATAGGATGGAAATTTAGCAAACATTTAATAACAAGCTTATCTATTCTAATTTGGGTATGAAATGAGAAAACACCCTTAAAAATTTCATAGATAGGGGAGAGTTATTATGTATTGTTATCCAGGCAGTCATATGTCTTTAAATTGTGTAAATTTTTAATGTACTGTAAGCTGCCCAGAGAGGATTTTTTGAAGTTGGTCAACCTTGAAAACTAATACACACACACACAAAAGCTTCCATGTAGTATTTTTGCCATCTGCTTCCTTTCTTCCTGTTGAGAAGGATTTCCTTCCCTGTAATGTGAATTTAAATGTAATGTGAATTTAACTCTTAGAAAGATGGATACGTTACATATCTTATAGATAATAAATTTTAGCATTTAGACTTTTTTTCTGCATAATCCCTATTTTTTGGAATAGATAATATATTACTTATAGGTATGAAATATGACTATAGTTACTTCCTTTATTGGATTCTAGTTCTCTATACCACCTGATTTAATTTCTTACTAATGTAATGTAATGTGACATGACATGACATAATAATTATACACTTATTATAATACAGTAAATAATACACTTATTATATAGTACCACCCTCCAGTATCATTTTAATTTCTAGTAATAGCCCCCTAGCCATTCCGAGGGGAAAAACTGAGGGTTCATTTTAAATATTTCACAGAGTGTTCAAAAAATATGCCTTGCAAAAAGAAAAAAAGACCCAATCTGATAGGGAACATTCTGGAAGCTACACAGGTGGGTAGAAACATCCCAGTAAATTATACTAGAAACTGACTAGAACTCTATTTTATTAAATAGCAACAAAATCTTGAAAACGATTATGGTTTCCTTCTCTTCCTCACATATTCCAGGGAGTTAGGAAGGAAGGAAAAATTTGCGTCTCTTCTCAATAATATTTCTCTTTTCATAGCTTAAAGAATGCTTCCTTCCCCTTTTGTTTATATTTCTGAATATTTGCTTGGCTGAATATTTTCATGGCTCTCTGTAGATAGATTATAACGTCATCGCTTTGTCTCCTGATAAAAAGATGTTTTTGTAGACTAGCTTGCTCTCAGCTTGCTCCCACAAAATACTCTCAGAAGTTAAATGACCTGGCCATCTTACATGGTGATGATGATAATGATGACAATAAATCTAATGAAGGTTGAAGGCAGAATATGAGTAGAAACCTCTAAATAATTGTATTTGGGGTTTTTTTGGCTGTCTTTATAGATTGTGACTGCAATTTCCAAGGCACAGAGGTAATGGGCTGTAACAAACTGACTGGCAGCTGCCTTTGCCGCACAGGGTTTGCAGGACCCCAGTGTAACCACTGCCAACGGGGCTACTGTGGCAACTATCACCAGTGTGAAGCATGCCATCCTTGTTTCCAAGCCTATGATGATGACATTCAAAGGTTTGGTTTACGTCAGGCCGCCTTGAAAAATTCAACACAGCACTTGCAAGGAGGGACAATGACCTCTGGCTACAGTACCCGCCTTTCAGAAGTGGAAAGAAAAATGCAGCACATTCAACAGATATTGGACAATCCCCTCATTACTGAGCAGGGACTGGACCAGGTGGCCAATACTATTGCTACAGTAAGGTAAGCTTGCTTTTTCTTTAGATTTACCAGCAACAAAGGAGTGTGCCCTCCCACCCCAAATATACAGAAAATAATGTTTCAACATTTGGTTGCTAAAAGGAGTTTACTTGACTCCATTCAAATCCAAATTCACAAGCACTGTCTATGTTATGGTTAGGGGAATTGTATTGTGGTCCTCAGACGAAAAATGAAAATACAAATCACACACATTCAGATCACATTTGTTTCAGAGTTTATGAACTGTAAAACACTTTGCTTATAAATGAACTTCCTAAGTGCTCCCTAAATGATCATAAGTCTGAACAAAATGCTTCTTTATTTTCTTTCAACTTCAGCCTTTGTTTATTTACATAGAAAAGCTTTTGAATAGCAGTTTTGTTACTTCCTATGTTTACATCTTTCTCCAGCTTTAATGCAAGAAAGATATGGTCTATCTAATCTGGCAGACCAATCAAGAGCCCCAAGACTGTGTAATAGGTCCCTCCTCATGTTGCTTAGCAACTGCCTTCGGTTTTGGAGATAATATATGGCTATTATGACTGATAAACAAGGAGAGTCATATCCTTTCTGGATTTATCTACTCCTGCTACCTGAATTGATGACTGTTACTATAGCTTGTGGGAATGAGTTCCAGCTACAGATTGTATGACAAAATGACTTGTTTTATCTGTCCATGTTATTCTAGGCTATCAGAGTGGTATATTCACTCTACCTCTCCTTAAGCTCCCAGAGCAGAGAGATAAAGATGTTACATGATGTCCTGTTCTCAGGACATGTTATTTTACAGAAAGATAGCGCTGTCTTTGTGACCAGATTGTCTTAATATTTGAGGAAAGCAATCAGAGGGAAGAGGTAATAATACAGAAAAATGTGTTTATAAATATTATATTTCTTATATTAATTCCAGGCAGACCATTGAACGTTTAAGCTCTGAAATACTTCTTGTGGATGAAGTCTCTTCCCTGTCCATAGATATGGATGCTCTTGATAAAAGCTTGTATCTAATCACTGAACAATACCAAAATAAGAAGGCCCAGTTTGAAGCCAGCCGCAGCATAGATCTCTCAGGTATAACCCTCAAGTTTCATCTGCCAATGACTTAGCTGTCTGGTTAGCTATCTTTCCTATTGCAAATGCAGAGGATATCTAGTTGAGAATGTCTCCCTTCAAATTGTTGTTGGCTTGCCAGAAAGAGTGTGAAAAGTCGTAGAAATTCATCTTCCGGTAATATCACAAGTTTCTTGGGGAAGGAGGGGGGTTTCCTGCCGTGAAAGTAAATCTCAACAATTGAAGGCCTAAGAATTAATAACTTATACCTACAATTACCATATTTTCTGGGAAAAAATAAAAGGCAAACCTGAAAAAAGGTCCATAAGGTAAAAATGGGTTTTAATAAGTTTGTTTTACAAAAATTCATGAGCAAAACCAAGAAAATAAATAATTAAGTTAAACAAATCTAAAGGCCAGCTTTCTGAAATAAAAGACTGCCTATATAATAAAGGACATATGGTCACTGTACTTATATCAGATGAATATGCACTTTTTACATTGTATGCATTTTCTGCTAGTCTTTTGAATAAAGTTATGGCCATATTCCTGTTCATAAATGTAATGTTTAAACTGTAACATATTTCTGCAGGAGACAATATTGTTCTTAGTTTTAGATACGATAGGAGTAGGCATCACTGTTAATTACATTTTCACTCATCCTACTATTTCCACAGGATATAATTTTTCTGGGTTACATAGGGCTTCAACAGCCTAAAGAATATATTGACCAGGGACGATAGTAGGACAAATAGTGAACTTCTTCCCCAATTCCTGGTGCTATTGGTAAAGCCTGAAGTAGCCACTACAGGAATAGTAGTGCCTTAAGTGTTTGCTCACCAAGTATTCTTAATTGGCCTTCTGTATGTAAAATGGTATGACTCCTTGGTATAAACTGATGGAAATAAAATCAATTTAAGAAAGCTCTTTCTATATTTTAGCCTCTCCCTTTGCTTTAGTCATGGTGATGGATTAATATTATAGTACATCCAAAATATACTTCCCACAGTTCCTTATTGGTGAATCCTCCTTCTTCTTTATCCTTTCCATCCATGCTGGGAAAACAAGCACCAATTCCTTTCTTTTCCATGGCTCTCTCTTTGAGGATATGTAGTGTCTATGGACCCTAACCTTATGTATCAATCCCACTCACATTTAACTCCTTCGTATGTGATGCATCCACTGGTGGATCAGTAAAGAAGAAGAAGAAGTAATGCACTAACATTTTATCACTTTTTCCTGTCACACTGAATAGGAAAAGAAGTTGGCAGAACTTGGTAATTTTACCAGGAGGAAGGATGAAAGGTCTACTGTTTCACTCTTTCATCTGTGGGAGGGAGGGAGGGAGGGAGGGAGGGAGGGAAGGAAGGAAGGAAGGAAGGAAGGAAGGAAGGAAGGAAGGAAGGAATGATCATAAAGGAAAACTGATAGAACTCTTGTCAGTTTCATCTGGTTAAAGAAAAGAGTGCTATTGTTTACTCTTTACTCAGTGAAGTTCTTAAAAAAAAGTTTTTTTTAAAAAAATGCCAAACCTTTCATTGTCTACCTGTGAACTGGTTAAAGAAGGAAGGTGCAGAATTTCCCTAGTCTGGAAACCGAATGGCAATAGAAGGCAGCAAATATAGGAAGTTCCAGTCAGAATTCACAGTTGTCAGTCAGAATAGAGGCATTTATCTATCTTGAAATAAAGCACAACAAGTGAACTTCACAGCATCACTTAACCCAGCGTAAGTTGAAGAAACTACTTTTGATGCATTGAAATTAAGTCATATTGAGATTGCCTTCCCAGTAAGCTGGTGGTGGGAAGACAACAATATTGTGTTTCCCTGTCCTCAAGAAACATTTAGTGCTGCATACTCATGGTATGTTACTGTAATTATGTATTATTAAAATTGGTCACCAGATTGTCTAGTTCATGTGGAATATCATCTCACTACAGCAACAAGTTGGACAGTTGCTTATATACCCCAAGAACAAGTTATTAAGTGTGCCATCTTCATTTTTTATACCCTAGAATAGTTTAAAGAAAACTAATATATAAAACAGCATACCATATTTTTCAGAGTATAAGACACACTTCCTCCCCCCCCCCAAAAGTGGCTGAAAATTTGGGTGGGTCTTATACTCCAAATGTAGCTTTTTCGAAGCTTTTTTTCAGCCATAACGAGACGTTAGTGAGTGAAGCAATCTCCGTGCTTTGCCTGCTCCCTCCAACTCTCAGCTGTGCTTTAGAAGCTTTTTTTTATCCCCAAGTAGGGGATAAAAAGCACACACGTGCACTCAAAACCAGCAAACTAATCTGCTGAAGCTGACCAGACTAGTGAGATGATTTAGGCAGATTTTTTTTCCTCCCCAAAAACTAAGCTGCATCTTATACTCCGGTGTGTCTTATACTCAGAAAAATACAGTAGTTTGCTCATCTCCTCCTTACTCCCTTTAATCTGAAAGTCAGAGTTCTGCTTCCTTGTATTCACAGTTGAATTCACTTATAACATGATAGAAGCTCAGAGGTGCTTTTAGGATCACACATGAACATGCTGTATGATATTAGGGAAGTAAAAGTAATTCATTTGTACTCTATATGCCTTGTTGCTATGGCTTTCCCTGAAGTGTCTGTGGGATGAAGCTGAGAAAAACAGTGTTGCCACATCATAATACATGCCTTTTTATGGATATTGTGACTCAACAGCCATAGAAAAACTTTATTATAAAGCAAATTTATTTTGAGTTTTTGTTTGTACTGAAGGTTTTTTCTGCATAGCAATCTTAAGCTGTTTGACACATATTCCTAAACAACCAGAAATGAATCTGGTTTAAGTAATTCTTTTCTGGATATCAACCCTTTCCTCTCTGGACTGAGATTATCACAATTTAATATTTACTTTCTAGTTAATAGGAAGATGAAGAATTGATGTCTTAGCAGTTATAGAGCTCTATTCCTTTTCAAACTTCCACATACTTGGGTTTGCTGAAGAAGCATTTTATTACAAATTTAATAAGAACTTTGTTGTTGTAAAGCATTTCTGTTTTCTGAGATTTTACCCTTCAGAAGTGGTTGAATGAATATTTTTACAATTACCTTGTATTACATTTTAGAGGAGAAAAACAGTCCTAAATTCAGAAGGCTAATTCCTGTTAAGTCTTTCTTTCTAGTTTATGGGAGACGTATTTGCTTGGCTATCATGAAAATGCTTGTGAGAGACAAGCCCTTGTTTTCATCTAGTTAATCTGTATTTCAAGGTTTATACAATTCTGTTCTAAAAAGGACTTGGGGCCATTCTTCTGTTTTTATTTCTGGTTTTTTTTTTTTTTTTGAAGACTGATATGATTCCCAAGAAAATTGCTAACATTTTCTTTGGCTTGGAGAAGATATAATGAAGAAAACATTCTCTTGGATTTTTATAGCTCTGCTATTGTTAAAATCTCTTGAAAAGATGGGTGGTAATTCTTCTTTAGAATACTTGTCAAGAGCAAGATTATTCAGTTAGGTAACTGGTCAATTCAGGATTATGAAGCTGATTTGCTTCCTTTCTTCTGTAATGTGACTTTTAAAAGTAAAATTCAGTACTCAATGTTTAAAGAAGAAAGAAGTATTTTGAATTACTATCAATTCCCACTACAATCCCCTTTATTCCCACAGGGGCATTCAAGACTATCAGATCTGCACATCTCACATCCTCCAATGCCAGTGCACGCATAGCTGGATCTTCTGGACTGATTTCTGAGTCTCTGGAAAAAAGGAGAAATGCTGAGGAGCTCGAAAGTCGTCTTATAGACCCGGATTCAGGATTTGAAGCACTTCAGAATAAAATGGCTGTTACACCCAACTTGACTCCAGTAATTAATAAGGTAAAGCTAATGCTCTAAAGCAGACCTATTTGTACAAACGACAAAAACTTGAGCTGAATCATAGATTCTGTTTAAACATATTTACCTGTATTTATATGTATATATACCAGAGGTCTTCAAACTTGGCAGCTTTAAGACTTGTGGACGTCAACTCCCCAGAATTCTGGGAGTTGAAGTCCACAAGTCTTAAAGCTGCCAAGTTTGGGGACCCCTGATATATACAGTGGTGGGCTGCTGCTGGTTCAGACCGGTTCAGGCAAAGCGGTAGTTCCAACGATCAGCTGGCCCCACCCACGCACACCAGCCCTATCCTGTCCTATATTTCCTTCTTTCTGGCTCAGCTGATTCGTGCAGCACAGCTGATTTCGGCACCTCTGCTGTTCTACTTACCGGGGCTGCCTTAGAGGTAAGCAGCTGAGCTTCAAATTGTTGTATTTTGAATGCTGCACGCAACCTCAATAGGTGTGCATTCACATGAAGCCCGCATGTGCATGCAAAGAACACGCTCACAGAACCGGTTGTTAAACCGGTTGCAGCCCACCACTGTATATATACATGTTATAAGATTGGTTGGAATTAGTTAGAAGTATTGCTAGTGTAGTAAAAGAAAAATTCATGAATTACTAGATTAGTTATTTTTTCTCAGACACAGTCAGTGGTGGGTTGCTACCAGTTTGCCCCGGATTGGGCAAACCGGTAGCGGTGGTGGTGGGAGGCTCTGCCCACCCACCTGGACGCTTCTGCACATGCACAGAAGTGTTGTGCATGCGTGTGCACATGAGCACAAGCGCATAAGCGAACCAGTAGCAAACTAAATTGAAACCCATTACTGGACACAGTGAATATATTTGTACAGTTAAACCAAGGCTTGTATTTTAAAAACAAAGAGGCTTTTGTTCTTCAAGGACACTTGTTCTTCCAGAAGTATGCAACCTGAAATTACTTTATACATAGAGGGAAAAAAGTAGAAAGTCCGAAATATCATAATAAATAAGGGATATTAACAGTGGATACCAGTTTTAGATTTACAGATTCCATCTCTCTCCCTCTCTGTCTCTCTCTCTCTCACACACACACACACAAATCCCAATACAGATGAGCTGTAATTACAGGAATATGCATGTATATGGAAAGAAGTGCATGCTGCAATATTACATTGTCCTTTAAGACACATCAAACTTACATCATGAATACTGGCTATGAATGAAGAATCAGAATAACATCTTGATGTTCATATCATCTAGCCACCAACTCTCAAGTATATTTTCTAACACACCTCCTCGCTGCTTTCAATTTTGTCTGCACTGGAAATCTGTGGAAATAAACATTATTTAGATTCTGTACACATGTTGCAGAACATTCAAGCCAAGCCAATATTTCCACACACAGCCAATAAATAGGAATTAATTCAGTTACAGTGCTTCTTTATATGATAGCTTCCAACAAGCATAACTTTAAAAGAATATTGGACAAATTTAGCTATTAGCAAATAGTCATAGTGATCATACATCATTTCTTGTTTCAGAGTTGCATGTTTCTGAATATCAGCTCCTGCAGAGCTTGGCCTAAAATAAATGCATCTTTTCTTTTAAAAATGTTGAACTGTAAAAGACAATGATTAACAAGATAAGTTTGTTGACTGATCCAGTTGGGATCTTATATTTTGAAATTCAGAGCTGCTTTTAGGTATAGTTTTACATAAAGGCGGGAGGGTTGAATTTGGAGACAACTAATGACAGGCAAGTTAGAAACATTACACATAAAGAAACAAAGTAAGTTCACTGAATCTTATTAGAAATATTGTACTGTAATTGACAAAGCTTCTTGGATCACATGACTTTTTCTATTAGGTTTGCAGTATTGTGAGATCAGAAGTTTGCACTCCTGGTGAATGTATTGGGTATCTGTGTCCTCATCAAAATGCAAATGAATGTGGTCCAGGACTGAGCTGCAGAGGGATCCTTGCACTTTCCAGCAGTTCCATCCAAACTGCCAGGAAAACCACCCAGGAATTCCGCAATTTTAACAGTCAGCTTCAGGAGACTGAACAAATGGTATGTATTTAGAATGGAGAAAGCAAAAGGGAAGGGATGGAATCTTTATTTCAATAGGCCTGATTAAAATAATGTTTTAGTATTTTCATTTTGTGTGTGTGTTTATTGTTGTTACTTTCCCCCAGTGGTGAAATGTAAAATTTGTTACTACCGGTTCTGTGGGTGTGGCTTGGTGATGGTGGTGGTAATATGACTGAGTGGGCGTGGCCAACTCTTTTTTTTTTCTCTTTTAAAACCATTTTTTCTACAACCTCTTCGGCTGAAAAGGTTGTAAAAAATGCTTTTAAAAGCCTCTGACAATTCCAGCTGACTTGCCTGATCGGCAGAGGCTTTGTTTTTACTTTTAAAAGCATTTTTTTGGCTGAATTAAAATTGCTTTTAAAAATAAAATAAAAAGCCTCTGATGATCGTGCGGCTCAGCTCGGCATGGGGGTGGGAAGGGATTTTTGCTACCGGTTCTCCAAACCACTGGCCGCCATCGCTACCGGATCGGGCGATCCGGTCCAAACCAGGAGCATTTTACCCCTGCTTTCCCCCCCTGAGCTTGTGAATGATTATCAGGACATGCAACTTGCAAATGGTTATTTTAAACTCTAGTCCTATTTATGTGACTTTTCAATTGAAATAATCTACCTAGAAATGTTTTGTATGCCCTTGTGAAAAGGAGCACAAGTAGTCCTTGAAGTATAACTGTTTATTTACCAACTATTCAAAGCTACAACAATACCAAGAAAAGTGACTTACAATAGGTCTTCACACTTGACAACCATCGCAGCATCTCCACAGTCACATAATCAAAGTTTGGGCACCTGGCAACCAGCCTATTTTTACAAAGGTTGCAGTGTCCTGGGTGATGTGATTGTCATTTGTGACCTTCCCCACCCTGCTTCCAACAAGCAAAGCTAATGTTAAGTGGATTTGTTTAACAACCACATGTTTCACTTAAAAGTTGCGGTAATTCTCTTTACAATTGTGGTAAAAAAGGTCATAAAATCATGTGTAATTCACATAAAAATCACCTTACTTAGCAATGGAAACTGATCCCCGTAGTGTTCATAAGTCAAGGACTACTTGTAATCTTAAAGTGTTTTAAAGTTTTAAAGCTATTTTTATACATTATTTTTATTGCTTTTAAAAAACATAACAAAAAAAAATATAAGAAGAAAGAAGAACAAGACCGTCCCCTTTAGGGGACGGTCACCCCATCCCTGTGGCAAGACGTACACAACAGCGGAGCTTCTTGGTCTGCGAGATTCCCCCCTCTCGCAGGCTTGGCCCCCCACGTTATCGAGGGCCTACCTCGATGACGGATTTTGGAATCCCGAGAGGTGGCATGCCGCAAAGAGGGGGCTGAGGGGTTTTTTAAAATTGTCTTTGTGTAAATTTTTAAGGGGTGTGGGGAGGGGGGTGGGGAGGGAGGCCAGTCTGGCTGTTAATGGTGCCATAGGGGGTACGGACTCTGGGGGAAAGGGGACTGTTAGAATGCCCTCTATTGAGGGCTTTTCCATCAATATGCTGAGTGGGAGGGGCAGGTATGGCGGGAGCAGGGGGCCGCATCATGTGGTGGGGGCATGCGCTCGCTATCTCCGAGCGATTGCATGCCCCGGTCCCCTTAGCTCTTCCCGTTCCTCAGGCTGCTTAGAGTCTCAGGACCCGAGTTTCCGGCTGATGTTGTGTAATGCCAGGTCCGTAGTAAATAAAGCCCCCCTCATTTGTGATCTTATTCAGGAGGGGGGAGCGGACCTGGCAGGTATTACGGAGACCTGGTTGGGCCATGAGGGGGGGTTCCCCTCGTGGAGATGTGCCCATCAGGCTTCCGTGCATTTCATCAGCCGAGAGCTCAGGGCAGGGGCGGGGGGGTGGCGGTCATTATAAGAGAGGGTCTTGATCCGAGGGAGACCACTGTGCCTCAGATAGCCGGATGTGAGTCCCTTTTCGTGAAGTGGGGTCGTGGGGTGCAGATGGGTCTGTTGATCACGTACCTGGCTCCCTGCCACGTGGCGACGACCCTGCCCGAACTCCTCAATGTTATAGCCGAGGTGGCGGCTGATACCCCCAGACTTCTGGTCATGGGGGATTTCAACTTGCCATCCATTGGTGAAACTTCTGAGGTAGCTCGGGAGTTCATGGCTTCCATGACGGCCATGGACCTGACCCAAGTAATTCACGGCCCTACTCACATGGGGGGACACACTCTGGACTTAGTTTTTGTCTCTGGTCAGTGGTTGAGTGGCCTTGATATAGGGGATATAGATACTGAACCCTTGTCATGGTCTGACCACTCGCTCCTTCGACTTGACTTTCTGACCGCCGCACCCCGTCGCAGGGAGGCGGAGCCGACCAGGTGGTTCCGCCCCAGGCGCCTGATGGATCCTGATAGGTTCCAGATGGAGCTTGGGCCATTTCCTGAAACTCTAGCTCACGACTCGGCTGATGACCTGGTGGCCGCCTGGGATAGTGCGGCTGCCGGGGCTTTGGACCGGGTCGTGCCTTTGCGGCCTCTGACCCGGCACCGAACTCACTTAGCTCCTTGGTTCTCCGAGGAGCTGAGAGAGATGAAGCGCCGGAAAAGACGCCTAGAGAGCGGTTGGAGGGCCAGTCGTTCCGAATCCGACTTGACACTGGTAAGGTCTCATATTAAGACCTACCTAGTGGCGATAAAAGTGGCGAAATCTAGCTATTTTGCCGCTCTTATCGCGTCATCAGATAACCGCCCAGCCGCCCTGTTCAGGGTGACCCGCTCCCTTCTCCATCTGGGAGCGCGGGAGGACCCCTTGCAGGGCCGAGCTGAGGATTTTGTACAGTATCTGGATGATAAAATAACTCAGATTCGGGAAAACTTGGCCACTGACTGGGTTAGTTCAGACGAGATGACTGAGGCAGGCCTTGAGAATGTTATCTGGGAGGAGTTCGATCCTGTGGCTCCCGAGGACGTGGACAGGATCTTGGGACGGCTGAACGCCACCACATGTTTATTGGACCCGTGTCCCTCCTGGTTGGTGCTGGCTTCCCGGGAGGTTACACAAGGCTGGCTCCAGGGAATTATCAACACTTCTTTGAGTGAGGGTGTCCTGCCGGCCGCCTTGAAAGAGGCGGTGGTGAGGCCTCTCCTCAAGAAGCCATCCCTGGATCCGGCTGTTTTGGCTAACTATCATCCAGTCTCCAACCTTCGCTTTATTGCGAAGGTTGTTGAGAGTGTGGTGGCGCGACAGCTTCCACAGTACCTGGATGAAGCTGTCTATTTGGATCCGCTCCAGTCCGGTTTCAGACCTGGGTACAGCACGGAAACGGCATTGGTCGCGTTGGTGGATGATCTCTGGAGGGCTCGGGATAGGGGTTATTCCTCTATCCTGGTCCTGTTAGACCTCTCAGCGGCTTTTGATACCATCGACCATGGTATCATGTTGCGCCGGCTGGAGGGACTGGGAGTGGGGGGCACCGTTTTGCGGTGGTTCTCCTCCTATCTCTCCGACCGGTCGCAATCCGTGTTGACAGGGGGGCAGCGGTCGACCCCGAGGCGCCTTGTTTGTGGGGTGCCACAAGGGTCGGTCCTCTCGCCCCTCCTGTTCAACATTTATGTGAAGCCGCTGGGTGAGATCATCCGTGGTTTTGGGGTGGAGTTCCATCAGTACGCTGATGATACTCAGCTGTACATCTCCACCCCAGACCATCCCAACGATGCCTTGGAAGTGATGTCCCAGTGCCTGGAGGCCGTGCGGGTCTGGATGGGGAGAAACAGGCTCCGACTCAACCCTTCCAAGACCGAGTGGCTGTGGCTGCCGGCGTCCCGGTATAGCCAGCTTACGCCATCGCTGGTTATTGGGGGTGAATCATTGGCCCCCACGGAAGGGGCCCGCAACTTGGGCGTCCTCCTGGATGCATGGCTGTCCTTAGAAGGGCATCTGACGGCCGTGGCCAGGGGGGCTTTTTATCAGGTTCGCCTGATACGCCAGTTGCGCCCCTTTCTGGATCGGGACTCCCTACGCACAGTCACTCAAGCACTCGTCACTTCTCGTCTGGACTATTGTAACGCTCTCTACATGGGGCTCCCCTTGGGGTGCACCCGGAGGCTCCAACTGGTGCAGAATGCGGCCGCGCGGGGGATTATGGGAGCGACTGGGCGCTCCCATGTGACTCCTCTCCTGCGCGAGCTGCATTGGCTTCCGGTGGACTTCCGGGTGCGCTTCAAGGTGTTGGTGACCACCTTTAAAGCGCTCCATGGCTTAGGGCCGGGGTACTTACGGGACCGCCTTCTGCCACCAATTGCCTCCCACCGGCCAGTTCGCTCCCACAGAGAGGGCCTCCTCAGGGTGCCGTCGGCTAGACAATGCCGGCTGGCGACCCCCAGGAGGAGAGCCTTCTCTGTGGTGGCACCTACCCTTTGGAACAATCTACCCCCAGAGATACGAGTGATCTCCGACCTCCGGACCTTTCGTCGGGCCCTAAAAACTCATCTCTTTCAGTTAGCCGGTCTCTCTTGATTTTATGATTTTATGGTTGGTTTTAAATTTTGATATGGATTTTAAATTGATAAATTTTAAACTATGGGCCAAATTTAATTATTTTAAATCTATTTTTAATCGTATTTATGTATAAATGTTTTTATTTTGGCTGTTCACCGCCCTGAGTCCGAAAGGAGAAGGGCGGTATAGAAATTCGAATAATAAATAAATAATAAATAAATAAAACAAGTCGGAAAAATACATGTATTATAAAAATATAACAAGTGCTTAAACAATGCCATTCATTTTCTATTTGTATATTCTATTTTTCCATGCATTATTTTAAATCAGAAACTTGCAGCTGAAATACTAGAAATGAATGGGGTAATTAATACCTGGGGGCGGGGAATGACTACTAGTGCTTGTGGATCCACCTGGAACAATGTTGAAACGTTTAGGAGCTATATTAAATACCATATGGAAATGAAATCTGTCTCATCTATTAATAGATCAGATCTGCTGAAATAGCTTCCAGCAAGATTCAGACAAATGCCCAAAACCTGAGAAATCAAATGAGCACCATCAGGACACAGATAGAAGCAGATATCCAGCGCACTCAGCAGTTCATCCGCCAAGTTCGCAACTTCCTATCAGGTAAAAAATCAGAAGTTTCAACATTTTAACAATCCATACTTTGTCACTAGTCAATCTCTTTGCTGTATGTACTGAAACTTTCTTGTTGCACCTGCTGTTACTCAGAAGCCAAATTCAATAGCGGCTTTCCTACAGGGAACTTTGATGCAGAATCTCTTCCAGTTAATAGAGAAATTATTCCCATCTGCCTGCTGCCCAACCCTCGACTAGCAATTGGAACTCTTAAGGGGGACTTCCCTCCCTCCTGGAGGATCCAAGAATGCATATATACCAGAGGTGGTATTCAGCAGGTTCTGACCAGTTCTGGAGAACCGGTAGTGGACATTTTGAGTAGTTCGGAGAACTGGTAAATACCACCTCTGACTGGCCCCATCTATTCTCTGCCTCCCGAGTCCCAGCTGATTGGGAGGAAATGGGGATTTTGCAGTATCCTTCCCCAGTGTTGTGGCCCGCCAATGGCCTGCACGGATTGTGGCTGATCCTGATGAGGAGGAGGCTGGTGTGGTGTCGCGCCAGCAGTCTGTGCAGCCGGCGCTCGAGTCGGACAGCGAGGAGGCTGAAGAAGATGTGGTGCCAGAGGCAGAGATTCAGCCAGGGCTTTCAGATCCTCCAGAGGTTCCTTCAAGTGAAGAGAGTGAAGTTGAGGAGCCTCTTCTCAATGCACGAGCACACAGAGCTGCCAAAAGGCAGGACTGGTTATTCAGGAGGAGGTCTCCTCGAGAGTAAGGCTTGGGGTTAATTGGCCACTCCCTTAGCCTATTTAAGTTTGCACACAGCTGGCAAACGTTGCAAGAAACAACGTATGTTCGTCCGGTCGCCGTTGAGCATTTGAGAGTGAATTTTCATTGCAAACCTGGTTTCTGGGCTAATTGCCAACTCTTGTAAGCCTTTATCTAATCTTTGGAATTTCTGGCTGGCTGTTAAGGATATTTTTAGTAATAGCCTGCATTTGAAAAAGACTGTGTTTGTAGTAAATGGAGTTGTTCGGAGTTCTGTGTGTGCTACATTTCTTGGGTTCCATAGCTGGAGCAGAACACCCTGCCACGCCCATCAAGCCACACCCATCAAGCCATGCCCACCAAGCCATGCCACACCCACCAAGCCATGCCCACAGAACCGGTAGTAAAAATGTTTGAATCCCACCACTGATATATACATATACATATACATATACATATACATATACATATACATATACATATACATATACATATACATATACATATACATATACCTCCTGTATATGTGTGTGTTTGTACACACACACACACACGAACACACACACACACACCTCCTGCCTCAAATTATGAACATTTTTGGAGCATTTACTTAAATCTTTAGAACCAACATACAGAAACATGAACTGGGTACTGACTGATACAATTCTAAGCTATTGACTGAGTAGTCCAGAAAACTAACAATTCTCCTATTCCACTGCCAAAATGTGCTCTGTTTGTGTTTTCTATAGATAGTTGCTTGGGTCAGGATTTCAACCATTTAACTCTTCTCTCTCTCTCTTCTACCATCTTTTAGCTCATGGACTAGATCTCCCAATTGCTTATCAGCTACTCATAGTGAACTTTCCAGCTCTTTTCCCCATACTGATTCATCTGCCAAAGGGCTTACTGCCTTTCTTCTTTACTGTTTGCTCATGGATAGCTTTCCTGAGAGCAGACTCTTCCTTTCTTTGTCTTTTCTGCTATTCTTGGACTTTTAAATATATTTCTGAGCCAGCCATCTTTCTTCCCCCTTCCAAATTAGTTTCTTTCCACCATTTAGTCACCTATCCCTTTTTTCATGACCTTTTGGATCTGGATCTGGTGTCTACCAACTTGATGTCTTTTGATTGACTGCATCTGCCATGACCTTTATGAGACAGATGAGGACAGGAGATAATTGATACAGAACATTTTTGTCCCCAGCAATCTAAAACTAATAGCCTTGTCAGTGTTTCTAACATAGATGTGTGTGCAGTTAAGAATATTAAGGTTGTAGTTAGGAAAAACCAAGCTTTTGATAGTGTGTGCCGTACCATGTGTACTAATCAAACAGGTGATAAGGATGAAGGAGAACCCAGACACAAAACACAGGGTTAGTCAAAAAGGACTAAAATGCCTATACACCAATGCACAAAGTATAAGGAATAAATGAATCTAAGTACATTAGGGTAGATGTGATGTTGTTGCTATTACAGAAACTTGGTAGGATGAAACCCATGAACGGAATATATAGCTAGAGCAGCGTTCTCAACCTGGGGGTCGCGACCCCTTTGGGGGTCGAACGGCCATTTCACAGGGGTCGCCAAAGCCCTCTCTCGCCCCCCCCCATGCCTTCACTCACCCTCACTCTCTGCTCTGTTGGATCGCCGGCCGTTCGTTTACCCCACCCACTCCCAATCTATTGCTGCCTCCCATGGCTAGAGGAAAAAAAACTGTTTAAATTCTTGCCGCGGGGCTTCAAAGGGCCGCCCTATAGCCAGTGGTGCAGCCGAACCATTTGTTAAATTGCTGGCTTGCCCCGCCCCTCCGCACCACTATTTATTGCCAATAAATAGTGGTGGGCGAGGGGCGGGGAGCCAGCAATTTAACAAATGGTTCGGTGTTTTTTTGTAATTTTATTGGCCCCCGGAGCTTCAGCATAGGCTAATTAGCCCTTGCTTAGATCGGCTCCCGACCCCCAGCTGATTTGCTCTCAGCTGTTTTGCTCAGGGCTCTGCTCCTTGCTTGCAAAGAGTGCTGATTTTTTTCCCCCTAGCTATACTGAAAAACGAAAGAGAAAGTAAAGCAGGCTGTTGGCTTTGCACGTTGGAAAATTAGGCAGGCAGATTTCTTTTCTTTTTCCTCACCAAAAAAGGTAGGTGCAAACAACGGGAAATTTAGGGAAAAAGAGGAGATTTTAAAACACAAAAGAAAAAAAGCTCTATTTAACTAGGGAGTTGTAATAATTGAGATACTATTAATTGTATATTGTGTTGAAAGCAGAAATGGTTAAGTTGTGGTTTGGAGGAATATATGGGGGAAATTATTTGGTTTATTATTATTGGTAAATATAATTAATTGATTTGTAAGAAATTAGATTGCATGGAAATAATTGGAATATTCATGTTCATATTGATTAATATACAAAAAAGGTAGTTATATAACTAATTGATTTATATTAAAATGTTGAATTCATATTAAACAACTGTAATATTACATAATTAACCAATGTGAGGATGGATATAAAAATAGATGACAATGGGAAGGGGTATAATATAGAATAGAAGGGAAAAATTGAATTTAATTAAGATTAGAGATGAGGATGAAGGGTAATATTGGTTTTTTACAAAAATAGATGAGGAATAAATATGGCAAAAAGGAAATATAGAAATTGTAAATTTAATTGAAATGACTAAACACTGTTTAAATTTATGAACCGGCCAAATACTCTGTTCAAAGAAAATACATTGTATGTTTGTATGTGTGTTTCTAATTATTGTTATTTATTCATATTTGTTCACTTTTATTCTTTAAAGTTTAACAATTCATTCTTTATCTTAATATCTTTATATTTGTTTGGGGTTGGCTTTCTTCCCTTTCATCTTTTTTATTGTACAGCAATCTTTCTCCTCAAACCTACCACCTCTCTCTTTTCTTTCCTTCTTACTTTCTCTTCCTCACCCTCTTCTTCTCCTCCCTACTTCCTCTTCCTTTCTCCTTCTCCTCCTGTCTTCCTCCCTCTCTTACCCTCACTCCTACTCTAATTTCCCTTCCCTTCCTTCATCCCTCTCTATTGCTGTATCCTTTTATGCATATGGACTACTCAGAGGGCTGAAAAAGTTATTTCTGACTGGTCCTCGCACTTTTGACCAGTCTTCGAACTTACGACTGTCCTCACATTTTATGTTTTTGCCCTATCTTGTTACCATGGTGAAGAGAAGCAGTTGTGAAATGAGTGACACATTGTTAAGAATGCTACAATGGGCATAAATGATGACCAGTCATAAGTGCGAAGACCGGTCAAAAGTGCGAGGACCTGTCAGAAATCACTTTTTTCAGCCCTCTGGGTAGTCCTTTTGTGCATATGGACTACTCAGAGGGCTGAAAAAGTTATTTTTGACTGGTCCTCGCACTTTTGACCAGTCCTTGAACTTACGACTGTCCTCACATTTTACGTTTTTGCCCTATCTTGTCACCATGGTGAAGAGAAGCAGTTGTGAAATGAGTGACATGGTTGTTAAGAATGCTGCACAGGCATAAATGTGAGGATGGTCATAAGTGTGAGGACCAGTCAAAAGTGTGAGGACCTGTCAGAAATGACTATTTTCAGCCCTCTGAGTAGTCCCTATACACATAGCCATGGCCACCTGGTCACATGACCAGCTAGCCACACCCACCCAGTCACATGACCTCCAAGCCATGCCCACAAAATAAGCCACACCCACAGAACCGGTAGTAAAAAAAATTAGAACCCACCCCTGGTTGGGGGTCACCACAACATGAGGAACTGTATTAAAGGGTCGCGGCATTAGGAAGGTTGAGAACCACTGAGCTAGAGGGATCTAAATTGTTTTTTTTAAAAAACAGACTGAATAAAAGAGGAGGTTGAGTTGTGTTATATATAAGAAATAATTATATCTCTACAGAAATACAGCAGAACAATGATTAGAAACCATCTTGAATGCATTTGAGTCGAATATAAAAGGAGAAAAAAAAAGAAAGAATGACTTTGCCATAGGTATATACTAAAGGCCACCCATTCAGAGAAAATAGATGATTTTTTTGCTAGTCAGTCAACTAAGATATATAGGATGTATACCATAATAGTAATAAGGAACTTTAATTACCCTGATATAAAGTGGGATACAAACTCTGCACCTAGTGGAAAATCAAACAGATACCTGACAAATTTAGCAGACAATTTTGTCTCCCAAAAGGTAAAAAAGGGAACTAGAAGGTCAGCCATACCAGACTTAATTCTCACTAACACAAATTAAATGATAGAAGGTGTTAAAGTTACAAGAATCTTGGAGGGGGAGTGGAATGGCCATGCAATTTTGGAATTAAATGTTGTGCAAGGACAAGCAATAGAACAAAGTCAAACTATGATCTTGCACTTCAAGAGAGCTGATTTCAGTAGGATTACATGGATAAGAATCTTCAAGGGGAAAACAACCAAGAAGCCTGGGAAATTTTGTAAAGTGAGATTATAAAATCTCAGTCTAGCAATGAAGAAGAAAAATAGGAGATCTTAAAAGAAACCATCATGGCTACACAAAAAATGCTTGGATAAACTAAAAGATAAAAAAGGACAAGGATAAAAAATGAAAAGAGGGGCACATGCAGAAAACAGAATATCAGCAAATAGCCTGAACCTGCAAAGATGATGTCAAGAAAGCTAAGACTCAAAATGAACTAAGGCTTGCAACAAATGTCAAAAATAAGCTTCTTCCAACATGTAAAAAACAACAAAAAAGTCAAGGAAATGGTCCATTAATGGGAGAAAATGATAAGAAAAATGAGCAGTACTCTAATATTTGAGGGGCTGCTACAAAGAAGAGGTGGTCAACCTATTCTCCAAAGCACCTGAAGACAGGACAAGAAGCAATGGATGGAAACTTATCAAGGACAAAACCAAGCTAGAATTAATGAGACATTTCTTGACAATGAGAACAATTAACCAATGGAACGACTTGCCTCCAGAAGTTGTAGGTGCTTTGCAGACCAGTGGGGAAAAGGGAGAGGGGATGGATCTGCATGAATGATGGGCATATGCGCATGCGTGCAGCTCCATTTGTATGAATGGTGGGCACACATGCCTGCTGCTTGCGCAAATGGAATGTATGCACTCATGCTCATCTGCTGGTCATTCAAGTGAGGATATGCATGCATGCACTCACCCATCAGTTCTGCAGCCCAATTTTGAATGACTCGAGGCCTTGCAGTGGGCCGTGGGCTGGGGCTGGGGATCCCTGGACTAGAAGACTTTTAAGGACCTTTCCAACTCTGTTATTCTGAGAGTATCCATAGCATGCTCTCAACATTTCAATATATCTTTTAATCCAATATGAATAGGGACCCGTTACCCTTCCCTACAGAAGTTATTTGGTTTTAGATTACTTTAAGTTATGGATGTGCAAAACACACTGATTGGGAATGGAATGTTCTAAAATTCTATGGAAGATTTCATTCCTGAAACAGTGAATTGTGTACATGCTTTAGGATCATATGAAACTTCTATGTGCTTCAGAAATTTCAGGGAGCAAGTTTCAAAAACAATTTCCCCAAATTAATGAGTTTACACATGCTTATTTCAAGTCCTTTGGAACTGAGGAAATGAAAAACATGGAACAAGTTTTCATCTATTCAAAAGCATTCCACTCTAGCAAACAGCAGTGAATCACAATACCTCTGACCCCAATTTTTAAAGCACTAATAGATGCTATCAACTTTCTCTTTTCTATATTTGACAGAATTAAAATAGCATTCTTTTTGCATAATAACTGAAATGTACAGAATATTATCCAAAAGGTTATGACGTAGATTTCATTCCATACTATACTTAAAATATGTGGGAGTTCACTTTAGAGTCAAGGCAAATCATATTGTGAGTAAAGATTGAATAGAAATATCTATGTGTCACACTGGAATTATTTATAAAACTTTAGTTTTATTAGATCTTTTTAACCATACCAGGTTGGTGTCGGTTGTATTAATAACAGTATTCTGACATTCTGATTTCATCTGGCCGGCTTGTTGAAAAATGCAAATCTTGTCACTTGAACTCAAAACATTTTCTCCAGTGCCCTGTATGGTATTGTTCAACTGGTTCATGTGATGAAAAACATGTCTGCTAAGTAGCCTATTTTTTGCAGCCACTCCTCATCTTCAAAGCATTCACCAAAACCTAGCCCACCATTTTCTTGAAAGTATACTTGTAATATGTCTTTCAGCTCAAACCCTCTACTGAAACTCTTCCTCAGCTAAGTCACCACATTTCTGCACATAGCAGGTGATTATTTGTCCTGGACAATGAGAAAATATAATTTATATGGACTCTCAAGGTTCCATAGGTTAGCGATACATTTGGTGTGTTTATGATGATATGTTTTTCCTTTAATTCAGAAAACTGTACATATGTACATAATGATAGCATCATCTGTATAAAAACCATAACCTGGGTTTATCTTTAAAGACAATAGAGACTTCAGTTTGAGCCTTTTACTCTCCTTTTTTTACAAATCCACTGAACCTTTGTCAATATATTGATAAACGTTTTCTTTCCATCGATGCTAATAGATATTTCACACTGATTGGATTTTGGAAGTCCTTTGCTACTTGGATTTTGACATGCTTTTGTAATATGTGTGTCTAGCAAAGTTTTCATTTAACTGGAACAGCTGTTCACCTCACTATTCCTCATGATATAATATTTGTTTTATTTGGCTTGCTTTAAAGCCCTAATCTTCTTTACAACCTAAAAGCTTGTTTATGGTACTGCAAAGGTTGGTCGATCTATCATGTACTTAAATATCCATGCTGTGGCGATCTAGGCATATCACAAATATTTTATTGATTGAATTAGAGATGCAGTTTATCTTGGTTAGATTATTTACTGTATTTTTTTTTCCAGATCCAGATGCTGATGCTACTACGATTCAGCAAGTGAGCAATTACATCCTGTCCCTTAATCTTCCAATTGATACTGGCACAATTCTCAGGAAAATCACTGAGATTCAGAATTTGATTGCTAAGCTGCAATGTCCTGACAGCATCATTGCCCAAACTGCTGGAGACATAGCTAAGGCCAAACAGCTTCAGCAGGAGGCTGAAGAAGCCAGGTAATATTCATTTCTTTTTCTGTTAAATTTATATCCTGCTTTCCATTCAGGAGATTAAATTAGTATACACAGTATTTCATTCTCCAATTTGGGACCAAGAGTTCGATAACTTTGGAGTAGAGGAAAATAGATTCACTGTTAAAGTAATATTTGACATGTTTATTTATAGTATCATCTAGAAGTTCTTTCTGAATATGTATATAATTTTAAACTTTTGGGAATTCTGATGTACAAAAAATGTCTTCTGGAACTTTCATTAAGAAATTATTCCTCTGTATTTCTGGAGGTAGTTCAGTGGTGGATTTCAAAATGTTTTACTACCGGTTTTGCGGGTGTGGCTTGGTGGGCATGGCGGGGAAGGATACTGTAAAATCTCAATTCCCTCCCCAATCCAGGGGAAGGTTACTGCAAAATCCCTATTTACTCCCGATCAGCGGCGACTCAGGAGGCAGAGAATAGATGGGGGCAGGGCCAGTCATAGGTGGTATTTACCAATTCTCCGAAGTGCTCAAAATTTCCGCTAACGGTTCTCCAGAACTGGTCAGAACCTGCTGAAACCCATCTCTGAGGTAGTTTACTACAAAACCCATAAGTTCCTTTAACTGGATTTATCCTTCTTGATTATGTATTATACTAACTGAATTGAAACATACAGTACGTACGGAAGCATATAATAGCATGAGGAGTGCTATGGGAAACTATCTAATATTCTTAGTGGTAAATCTTTCTTTCAGATTACATCTTTTCCTGACTGCTCCCTGTAGATTACAAAATTTATCTATCAATACTATTTCAATGGTGCTAAAACTTTTATCTCTACTTTTTTGGAAGCTGTAATGTTATGCTGCTTTTTTATTGTATGGATTCATATTCTGTTCAACAGGTCATCGTTATATATTACCTATAGAATGACATCTTTTTGAAAAGAAAGCAACATTTCTTTATTTATTTCTTTAAGGAACCAGGCCAGTACTATTGAGGGAAATGTGGATGATGTGCTGCAGAAATTGAAACAAGGAGAAATAGCACTTCAAGAAGCTGAACTTACCATTCATGACTCTGCTTTTCCCCTCCAGCGTATACAAAATCGCCTTGATGAAGTAAGTGCTTTATGCTTAGATTCTGACATTGAACATCTAAGTTGTTCACTCTAAACCAGCCTGCTCTCCTTTCATATTGATAAACCTCCATTGTTTCCTAGAATAGTGTTTCCCTTAGCTGATTACTTTATTACCTTAATAGAATATTTCTTGTTTATGTAACCATTATTTTTTTTAGGGATGTTTATAAAATTTCTAAAAAGTTTCATCTTTGAAATGTTCAGATCCAGACTATCCTCACTCCAGCTCAGGAAAACGTGAGGGACATCACCAATCAATTGGATAGCTTCACTGAGACAATTGTCCAGTTAAAGCACAAGGCAAACCAGAATCAGTTATTGGCTGCAGATGCTCAGCAACAAGCAACAGAAGCCCATGCGCGAGCAAAAACCACTCAGCAGGTATGGAAATAAGAAATTACTTTAGTGGGCTGCATGCTTTAAGCTACAGTATTGCTCAGCCAGCCTGTCTCAGTTTAACCATAAGACTTGTCAATGACATTGGCTATTCACTCTAATGCAAAAGTCCCCAACCTTCTTAGGCCAATAGTCCTGTTTGCATTTTTTTAGAACATACCCTGTACAGTCTCAGAAAATGGCCATCACAGAGTCACATGACCAATCATGCCATACTCATTCAGCCAAGGACAAACTCTGAAATTACAGCAGAAATTTCTTGCTGTCTCTCTCAACTTTCATTTTATTTGTTCTTCAGTACAATGACAACCTGCCTTGCCAAGATTTGTTTAATTATAGGCTTAAACAATTGATATTGAAGAACAAACAGAATTTGTTCATTACAATTATAATTTAACCTGATTGTCTAACATGACACCCTTGGATAACAATGTGCCACCAAGTCTTCTTCTTCCTCTTCCTCCTCTTCCTCCTCTTCCTCCTCCTCCTCCTCCTCTTCTTGTTCTTCTTCTTGTTCTCCTTCTCCTTCTCCTTCTCCTCCTCCTCCTCCTCCTTCTCCTTCTCCTTCTCCTTCTCCTTCTCCTTCTCCTTCTCCTCTTCTCCTCCTTCTCCTTCTCCTTCTTCTTCTCCCTCCTTCTCCTTCTCCTTCTCCTTCTCCTTCTCCTTCTCCTTCTCCTTCTCCTTCTCCTTCTTCTTCTTCTTCTTCTTCTTCTTCCTAGATTCCATGTCCTACCTGAGATTATTTTAATTACAAAAGAAGGAAAGATAGCATGTGGCAAGGGAAATTAAGAGTCTTTGGCTTCTCATTATTTCCAGTCATGCCCAGAGGAATATCATAGGTCCCAGAGAAATTCTTTGCAAATAAAAATGGTTAATGACTTGGATATTTGCCTTATCAAACTTAGTTTGATTATATTCAATAAAACATTTGATTATTGAAGAACAAACAAAACCTGTTCATGGATTTGGCTTGGGAATAGGAGGGAAAAAGAAAACTCTTCAAAATGGACAAACTGGAATATATCACAGTGAAAAGAAGGCGTGTTCTGTGGAGCCAGGAGAAATCAGAAAACTGTTGTGAAAAAGAATTACCACTTTTTGAAGAAGAAAAGGAATAGGCAAGAGGGAAAAGCAGTGTTTAATAATCTGACACACTTATAAATGGAACACTGATTAAGTAGAATGCTATCTAACATCATGTGATCTCAGGTTTAGAGATTTGGAGTTGGGAATTCTGATGTTATCTACTCAATATATCCATTGGAAGTTTGACTAGTTCTCATTTCCCTCTCTCTCTCCTCCTCCCCAGGTATTTGAACAATTGAATGGCAAATACATGGATCTGAAGAGGCGAATGGGACAAGGGTCAAATTTAGGTATCCAAGGTGACCGAATTCAAAGTGCCCACACAGAGGCCAACACATTGTTGAATGAAGCATTGAATATGATGGCCAAAATGGCTGGTAAGGATTACTTGCATGGAAACTCTCCAAATCAGAAATGACCTCACAATTCTTATCTTCATTGCCTTGGGATTCCATACAGGATTGCAGATTTTAAAAATAATATCAAGGTTCTTCTCTGATAAATTAACCATTGAACCTCAGCATATATAATATTGCAGAATTTCATGCATAATAATTTCATTTAATCAATTTCATATCAAGTATATGTGGATGTAGATGCACTTTTCACATTAAAATATGGATACATCATTTCTGGTCTACTGTAAGTAAGCCACAGGATTTTATAGAGAGACAGAGATAAAAAGCTATTATAGTGATCCTGTTAGGCATTTCAGCTTGCCCTTTTAATGGAATGGACATTCAGGAAGAATATAAATACTGTGTTATACAGCCAATCACAGATTTGTTCCATAATAATGGCTTGCCAAGCCAACTTTTTGATGCTCTAGTTGAACACTTCAGTTTAAAGCTTTCAGTTCTAATAACTTTGCTCAATATGTTTTGGGAAGCAGCCAGCATGTAGACAAAATGCTCTCACTCCTGTGGCAGGTGTAGTATGAATAACCAAGTGGCTCAAAGCCAGAGATATTATAGCGTTACTGTTACTGTTTTCATTGATAAAACTGTACTGCTAATGAATGTCTTTCATTGAAGGTGCCTCTCAGAGCCAGAGATTTAGCAGCTGGCTGATGAGAGGCAGTTACTATTGCTCAGAGTTGTGAGCAGTGAGGAATGTTGATGTTATTAAATAGGCCACCAGACAATTTCTCATGCAAAACATGATGAGAATACATTTAACAGTGCTGGCTGACGTCAATGTCCACATTCATTTAGTCCTATCAGAAGGAGATGAGACTTTTTCAGACAGAAAGGCTAAACTGATTTTGGATGCTATGTGGCAAACAGCAGTTCCTTAATATTGGGTCAGGTTCTGCCAATCATTTAGGGAAGCTGAATTAATTTCTTTATAGTTATTGTTATGGGCAAGAAAAATATGGTATCTAGATGGAAATAGAGCTATGGATAATTTACTTTGCTTCATAAAACAACAGATAATGCTATATTGAGGATTTACTATATAAATACTTATAATAAATTGGTTGAGTAATCTGAATTCATTTAGATGTTAACGGCAAAATTAATACTAGACCAGCAATCAAGAAGTAAACAATACCCCAATCAAGAAAGTATCAACTCAGACAAATAAGCTAACATAAACAACAGCCTAATCAAGGAACCACCAAGAACACTTCCACAAACACTGACCAGGCAAGCCACTAGCATATAAAAAGAGAGCAAACCCTACTCCTTTCTTACACTGATGACATTACCTAGTTTGGTAATGAAATGCCTACAAGAAAGCAACCAACCTCAGTGAACCCCAAGGACCCCACAGTTCAACTCTGAGTTGCAAATATTCTGTTCTGTGATGTTCTTCTTTTTCTCATTTGAGTATGAACAATTCTACTGATATTTGTTTCAGCAAAATTCAGCAAAATCAGAAAACTAAGCAGGGTACCCTATTCATAGAATTTTACAATCTTTCATATAAATATCAGTAGAATTGTTCTCATCTAACATTCAATACAGGATAGTTAGGGACTGAGGTGGTGGAACAGATCTACAAAGAATAAGAGAGAGGGGCAAACATGTGCATAGTTTTTGCATATGGGGTGCTTTATTGGATTGAACAGGCATTGCATGAAAATAATACATGTTAAAAGATGTTATAGAAAAACAGAACGGGCTAAATGGTCACCTATATAATGTTATCATGAATTAAAGAGGAAAAATAGTTTCTTTGCATCTAACTTATTTCTGTTTCATTCCTCAGCTTTAGAAACAGAACTACAGGAAAGTAACAGTGCCTTCATCCTCAAGTCAGCCAGGTTGGAAGGCCTGGAAAAAAAAGTGGAAACAATTCGTGATCATATCAGTCAACGAGCTGCATATTATGTCAGTTGCACAGATTAGAATAGTTTCTTCTCCTTTCCCGATGAATCCTTTCCTCTGTCTAATTTATCAAGATTGCTTTCTTCATATCTGCAAAGAAAATATTTCCATCTTTTATTTTAAAAAGCTAGCTTTGAAATATTGCTATACGTTAAGCTTTAGGGGAAAAAAACAGAAATGGGTATACTAATTTATTTGTTGTAGCACTCCAAGACTCCCTTATATTTAAAATTAATCTCTTGAATTCAAATGTTGTTGATAGCGGGTTTTTTTTTTAAAATTGGAAGATGTACTTTTGCATAAATTCTATCCAAGCAGAATCTGGATTCAAGCAAGATTAAGAAAGCAATATAAATAAACAATGGTGTCTGTTTCTTAGATTTCATAGCCCATAATAAAACTTTTTATCTTTTTATCCACCACTAGTTCTTTTTACTAATACAAAATAGCTGTTTGCAGATAAACCACTGGTAGTCCTCAATTTACAACAGTTCATTTAGTGACAGTTCAAACTTACAATGGCACTGAAAACAATGACTTATGACTGTTTTTCACAGTTATGACCTTTGCAGCATTCCCATGGTCACGTGATCGAAATTTAGATGCTTAGCAGCTGATTCACATGATTTCCTTTTGGGACCTTCTGAAATGCAAAGTCAATGGGGAAGCCAGATTCACTTAACAACTGGGTTACTAATCATACTAACTGCAGTGATTCACTTAATATCTGGGGCAAGAAAGGTCATGAAATGTGGCAAAACTTGCTAAACAAATGACTCACTTAACAAAAGAAATTTTGAGCTCCATTGTTTAAGTTGGGAAACTACTTGTACTGCCAGAAACAAATCTGATACTGAGAGATTGGGGACCTGATCAATAAATAACTATCAGGCATTTAAGAACCGACAAACTTTATTGAACAATGTATATTACATGTACAATTCCAGAACTGACAAGCAGAAATTAATGAATGAAGTAGAGACAGTGCCCCCTTCCTTCCTGTGGAATCAACTCATGCAAACTGTGCTGGAACAAATGGCAGTGTCAACAAGCACTCTGAGCAAATTGCTTCTGTATTATGAATTAAAGGGCCACAAGCAAGCCAGCACGGGATATTTTCTGCTTCAACCAACTGCTCTAATGGACTCAACACAAAAACAACACTGCACCCCTTGCAATTGCTCTTTATTCTACTGAACAAGCACAGATGTACAAACATGTATCCCCACCCTCCCGATAAAGGAAAGAGTTTGATTGTGTTTATCCACTGATTACAGAACCTTTCTTTTAAGAATTGTTTTCCAGTTTATATGAAACAACCCTCTAATATTTCAAGATAGTTGAACATATGAACTCTCAGTTCTATGGATGTGCTGTATAGAAAATATCGGCTATGGGCATCTAGGAACACAATCCTCCATGGCATTGTTCAAAGCAGGCCTTCCTTTTCTGCATCGTTGATTTTTGATGGTCAGTTTTCAATAGGAGTATCAAGCAGCCCTTCTGAAAAGAGAGGAGAAAAATAGAACTCATATGATGTGCATCTTATTGGAAAAAAAGTTTTCCAGGAAATCTTGGTTTCCTTTAAAAAAAAAGATTTGTAGAGATTTGTCGTTCTTACCTAACAGATACTGAACTTTTGTGAAGAAAGTAACTTGGCAAAAACTACTATATAGTTTTATGCATAATATAATAATTTCCAAACAAAAATTGTTTTCTGTTTGCATTTTCTTATTAAACTAAATTAATTACTTAGTTACAATACTTATTTATACTGTTATTAAAATGATAACTATAAAGTCTCATAAAAATCAATTTTGTTTTTTTTAACCTGCAGTTATTTTATTGGGTCATAGAAGAGCATACACTAACATCAATAAAAATTACCATTAATTCAGTGAAATCTATAAAAGATATCTAAAAGATAGTGTTGCTTACACAATATGATATTAAAATAGTAATATCTATATATAAACTTAATATTGAAACTATAAGTGGTGAAAACAATATATAATATAAAATATAATCATATAATGGGAAAATAACAATTTGTTAGTTCATGTAGCTATTCGGAACAAGGCACATGCTAGATAATTTTATGGCCAGTGATGGAATGTAGCAAGCTGGATTTCAAGAAGGGAAGATGTATTCCAGAGAAATAAAAGACAACTTGGTCCAGATATTTTGTGTGAGAGAAATAGGGTAAAGACAGCTCATTCCTAATAGTTCTCAGAGTATCTGTTAAATGCAGACAGTAGTGTTTAGTCTGGTAAGATTCTATCTATAGTTGTGGAAACAATAAAGAACTCATCTTGGAAGAATCACCATGTGTCATTCTTGGTTTTTAAATCTGACATGGCTTCTGGTTGATAGTTCTTTTATTATGAAGATTTCAAGGATGTTTCCTAGTCTATAGAAATGTGTATCATTTGAGAGAGAGCTTGGGGAAAAAATACACCCTCCATTTTAGAAGAGGTGTATTAATGGTTAAAAAAAAAAGGTGTTATGCTTTTGGAACAATTAGAGACTCGTTGGGAAACATATATGAGAATATGACTCTTTATTGTGCTGTTCACTTCCATTCTCTACTAAGATACTTATAAATAAATATGAGAGAGAGAGAGAGAGATCTGTCAATCAAATAAAACAAACTATGAATAGCATAGGTAGTTAGACCTGCATCTTTTGGTACAGTGCACATTTCTGCAAAAAGATACATGGTCTCAGGGTAGCCGATCATTCAAGTTTGGTTTTTCCTGCCTTGTCCTGCATCTACTCTGCCATCTTGGACAAAGTAGTCCTGACATCTCCTATTGAAGACTGGGGTGCATACTTTTCTGCTGACATGACAGTAAAGACACTTCCTTGCTCTGCACTCAGCATAATTGGGAGATCATGAAATGGTAGCAATATTTAAATGCTTCACTATTCTTCGCTAGAAAAGTGGATGTGAATTGCATGCATATACTTACCTGTAAGGTATATGTTTTATACTTATGGTAGGGTTTTTTTCAATCACATTACCAAGCAAACACCAGTTGGCCCACTGCCAAAATAGGTGTGATTAGTGGCTTTGACTGGAACAATGACTTCTGAGTTGAAGTGACTGAGTTTGAAAGAGAAGATTGAAAGGAAAACAAAGCTAACAAAGCTTGTTATTTTTTGCAATTAGTGTATGATGTATCATTACACACACACACTACACACACACACACACACACACACACAGCAACCTACATATTGTACATGATCTAACCAATGGCTTGGAAAGGTGATGCAAACCACTATCCATTACATAAGATGCATATCTATTCTGCTCACTGGAATTCAACAGGATTAATGCAGTACAAATGGAGTGACTCATCTATTTGACTTTCTGTTCTGAATCTTCCTCCACTATGCATGCAGTGATACTATATGTGTACTGCAAAGGTTTCACATTATGGAGGAAGATGGCAATGTATATTTAGACCATGCTTTTTTCATCCTGACCTTTTCATGTAGACAGATAAAATCATAATACAACTGTCGTTGAATTGATGAATGCAATCATAGAGCTTCACATAATTATGGTTATGAGATATGCCTATCAGCATAGTTCATTTTAGACTATACGTTCAGATTTAATTGGTCAGTTACCTTCCATAAACTCTAGCTAGCATTTAATGGCCAGAGATTTTTAGTCTAAAAATAACTGGATCATAATGCTGTTTCTTATTTTTTCTTATTAAACATTGTATTGTTATACAAGGTTATTATTATTTTATTATGTTCTTTGTTCCTGATTTTTCATTTACTTACTACAACAGTTGTTTCTGTTACTGTTATATCACGAATTCCCTTGATTGAACAAGTAGAATAAAGGAAATTTATGCATTTCAAAATAAGTGAAATAAAAATTGCTATGTTCCCTAATCCACATTCATTCATTCATTCATTCAGTCATTCATTCATTCATTCATTCATTCATTCATTCATTCATTCATTTAATATTTCTGAACCGCCAATCTTCGTCAAAGAGGGATTTTTACTTTTCATCTCTTCCTTTCCTGATGGCACATTACTTACACTAGCTCTCTCAAACATTCGCCAAATGTTCAAATATGCTGACACCCCAATTACTATAATATCTAGACAGTGTAACCAACAATTAGAAATAGCAGATTGGGAAAGCTATTGAAATCTCTACTTGGCCATTAGAAACTTAGTTTGACTGTCCCAAAGGACACTTACTGTGTCTTGGCATCTCTTTTTATGAGTACTGCTTCTGAGCAAAAAGTCGCCTTCACTTTGTCACGCATCCCACCTTCTGGAGTACAGCTAACTGAAGGTCTGCTTGGATGGCTCTGGCTGTCTATTGTAGTTACAGAAGTCATATGGACTGATGTGCCCCCTGGGTTATCTAAATATTTGCTTTCTGTCTTCTTGGCATGTAGGTCACGAAGATCTGAAGTATTCTGATAGGATAATACAGGGATCAAATTCTTGGTGTCTTGACTTGATTGTTCCTTGTAAGTAATGGATGATGTATTAGGCTTTGATGGAATTTGTACTTGTACTTGGCTTTTGACATTGTCCTCTGCATGATGACCATTCATGTGTAGTTTCTTCATATGATGGACCACAGCTGCAGCATTGAAGGCTTGCTAATAAAGGAGAAGATGACCAGATTTATGAGAATTATATACTTGTAGTTCTCTACAAAACCAGACTAAAGAAAGCTATGTTCATAAACTGCTGCTGAAAATTTACCTAGGGAGATTTACCTGGAAACAGACCTCACGTTCTTATGATCTCACTAGTACTCCATTCACTATAAGTAAAAAGTAACAAGGAAACTTAGCTGATACTATATTTTTATGAATATGGTATGAATGCTTGAGAATGATGTACAATAAAACAAAGGTAGACAAATCATGAAGCAGAAACTATAAGCAGCTCTATACTTATTTTTGTCTGACCCTTTAGTGACTTTTGAAATTTGATCAATGTAATTCAGGTCTATATTTTATTGTTGTTACACCTCTTGTGGAAGAGTGTTTTAACAGGAATTTGGAATCTACTCTGACATGGCACAGCTAAAAACAGATTTCCCACTATTCTCAAGATGAAAAAAATGGGCTTAAAAGTACTCTATGACATCAAAATGCTCCCTGATGCCCTGGCAGTTAAAATAAATGTTTACAAACTTGCAACTCAGGTACAAAATATTTTGTCTGTCCCTGCAACAAAAATTTACAAAAGCGCTTGGAATAAATGCAGTGCAATTTTATGCAAGCTTGTCTGAGATCAAATAATCCTATGTTCAATGGAGCTTGCTTCCTATTAAGGGCATCTAAAACTTACTTATATCTCTTATCTCTATCAATCATCAAAACCAAATGACTCTGAGTAACTCACAATACACTGAAGAAATAATATGTAATAAGAACCCTCCACCCCCAAAAAATAACCTAAAAAAGGAGAAAAGGAACAAGCATCCAATGGTCCCCCACCCACCCATTTCTGCAGTCTAAATGATGCAGTGAAGATGTCATATTTTTTTCAAGAGAGATGGATCTTTTGAAATTGATGGCAGCCTTTTCTATTTGCTACCCTTTATATAAAAGATAAAGATTTCCCTTGTCTGGTCATATCCAGACAAGCTGTAAGCCATATCCATATCCATTTTTGCTGTAAGCCGCCCAGAGTCCCTTGGGAGTTGGGCGGCATAGAAATGCGATAAATTAAATTAAATTAAAATATCCAACTCTAGGGGGGGATGTTCATCTTTATTTCTTGGCAGAAGAAGCCTTCATTGTCTGAGGACAGTTTCTGTGGTCATGTGGCCAGCATGATTCTATGCCAAAGGTGCACGTAACGCTGTTACCTTCCCACCAAAATGATACCTATAAATCTACTCACATTTGCATCCTTTTGAACTGATAGATGGGTAGGAGCTGGAGCAAGGAACAGGAGCTCACCGTGTTGCACAGGGCTCAGGTCTTGACCTCGGGCTGCTAGCTTTCCAGCTGACAAGCTGAGCATCTTTAACCACTGAGCCGTTGTGCCCCCACCCTTTACATAACAACCCTTAATATTAATTAAGGGTTAATATTAATATTAATATTAATTAAGGGTAATATTAATATATAACCCTTTATATAACAAATTGCCAAATATTTCTGTATCCACTGAGGAAATTCATTTTATACTTTGACCCATATGACACATCCAAAATTGTATTAAATGCGTAGTTACCTGGGTAGTATTATTAAATGGGGGCTTTTGGAGTGAGAGCCCTAATGGAAATTTTATCTCCATGCTCCTGATAAAAGATCCCAAGAGCAAGAAATCCCAGGACAGCAACATCAGGTTACTTACCTTCCACTTGCTTTTTGCAAAATTTTTTTGGATCTGTACACTGACAGATGGATAGATGTCACAGTAGAGGGCCGTGTTTCCATCAATCCTGCAAATTAAGTAAGAGGAGAACAGGCATATAGACAGATGGTGTTTGTTAGGGATACATTGCATTCTTGTATCTTCTAGCTGACATCTTTCTATGTATGAGTGGTTTGGGTTTGTCTCAAAAAGGTACTTTTGCATAGGCAACATAGTTTTGATTGTACTGCAGAGACAACTGGATTGTACTTGATAAGATGACTTGTATCACCTTGAAGACTTCACCTGTGTTTCCAGGAACCAGCAGAGATTTTTGCATGCACTATTGGGAGGTAGGGAAAGCTCAAGAGTAAGGCAAAGTAAAATAAGTGGGTATTTTTAGTAGACTGTTCTACTTTGTAAAATTTCAAAGCATTGCTAAAGTGACTACCCCTTTGAAGCTTTGCACAGTTCCAAGAACAGTTATTATGCCAGATGCAAGTATTTTTTTAAAACGTTTTTGATTTTGTATAGGCTGACTCTTCCAGAACCATTTAATAGAATAGAATAGAGCTAGCTGGAAGGGACCTTGGAGATCTTCTAGTCCAGCCCCCTGCTCAAATAGGACAACCTATACCATTTCAGACAAGTGTCTGTCTAGTCTCTTCTTAAAAACTTCCAGTGATGGAGCACCCACGATTTCTGAAGGCAAGCTAGTCCACTATTAGGAAGTTTCTCCTTAATTCCAGATTGCTTCTCTCTTTGATTAGTTTAAGCCAAGATCCTGACGAAAATTGTACTTACATGTATCATAAGGTGATTGCCTATGTTATTTAATATTAAACTTATTGGATTTCCTTCTCAGCTTTTTGTAGAATTTTCTTTTTCTGTGACCATCCTTTGATGACTGCAGAATATGTTAATGCCCATTTCTACTTTCTATTTCACTTATCTTTTCAGTCATGAGTGAAGATTGTCATATTATTCATCTTGCTAAGACTAAAAAGGTCTACCAAAGCCAGAAATTCTATTTACCATCTATTAAAGGTATACATTAGTTAATTGAACTATTATGGCTGACCACAGTGAGTATTGAGTAGGGAATCATCACTTAGTGCCTTGTCATCTCTTACATATAATTTCAGTAAAGGCATATAACAGAATACAAGAATTGTAAGGGATCTTGGAGGTCTTCTAGACCAATCCCCTCCTCAATCAGGAGACCCTATACCATTTCAACAAATGGCTGTCCAATCTCTTCTTAAAAATCTCTAGTAATGGAGCATCCACAACTTCTGGAGGCAAGGCATTCACTGGTTAATTGTTCTCACTGTCAGGAAATTTCTCCTTAGTTTTAGTTGATTCTGTCCTTGATAAGTTTCCATCCATTGCTTCTTGTCCTGCTTTCAGGTGCTTGATGTCAGTCCCTCAGATATTAGAACACTGCTATCATGTCATCCATAGTCCTTCTTTTCACTAGACTAGACCTATCCAATCCCTGCAACCATTCTTCATATGATTTAGCTTCCAGCCCCCTAATAATCTCTGCACACTTTTTAGAGCCTCAACATTTTTTTATAGCATAGTGACCAAAACTGGATGCAATATTTCAAATGCAGTCTTACCAAGGCATTATAAAGGGGTATTAACACTTCATGTGATCTTGATTCTATCCCTCTATTAATTGGCTTTTTGGTGGCTGCAGCACACTGCTGTCTCATATTTAAGTGATTGTCCACTAGGATTCCTAGATCCCTCTTGCAGTTACTGCTGTTGAGCCTGTATTCTATACCTCTGCATTTGTTTTTTGTTGTTTAAGTGTAAAACCAATTTTTTTCACCATTGAATTTCATTTTGTTAGCTAGAACCGAGTGTTCAAGTCTGTCAAGATCCTTTTGAATCTTGAGCCTGTTTTCTGGGGTGTTAGCTATTTCTGCCAGCTTGGTGTTGTCTGCAAATTTGATGAGTTCCCCTTCTATTCACTCATCTAAATCATTTACGTATGAGGATTTTGAAGAGTGCTGTGGCTAAAACAGAACCTTGGGATATGGCACTGCATACTTCTCTCCATGTAAATGGAGTTCCATTGAGGATTACACGTTGAGTGCAGTTTGTCAGCCTGTTATAAATCCATCTAGTAGTGATGCTGTCTATCCCACATTTTTATAACTTACCAAGATGTAGGTTGCAATCTAATTTGTCAAATGCCTTACTGAAATCCAAGTATACTTTGTCCATGGCATTTTGCTGCTCTGCTAATTTAGCTACTTTGTCAAAGAATGCAGTACGATTTGTTTGGAATGTTCTCTTTTTGACAATTCCATGTTGGCTTCTGGTTATGACTTTGCTTGCTTCTAGGTGTTCACAGATCTGTTGCTTGACTATCTTTTCCAGGATCTTCCCAGGTATAGATGTCAGGCTGATTGGTCCATGGTTTCCTGGATCCATTCCCTCCCCCCCTTTTGAAGATGGGAACCATATTAGCTCTTTTCCACTCCTCTGGTAGTTCTCCGTTGCTTCAGGATTTTTGAAAGATATGGTTCAATGGTTCCGAGATCATGTCTGCCAGGTCCTTCAGAACTCTGGGATGTAATCCATCTGGTCCTAGTAGCTCTGTTTTCACCCTGCTCCCCTTTGCTATCTTCTCCCATTAGTGAATTGTTTCCTTGACTTTTTTCTTGTTTTTTACATGTTAAAAAAACTTTTATTTATTTTTTTGCAAGTCTTAGTTCATTATGCAATCATGCTAGTTTCTGCTTGGATTCTTATTTTTCTTTTCCCATGGTATTGTGCTGGACTGGGCTTTCATAATCACATTTGTCAGAGTTCCCCAAACTTCTTGAGTTATTTTGCCCTTTAAGATTTTCATCCGTGTAATCCTTCCCAAGCTCTCATTAAGTTTGTTGAAGTTTGTTGAAATCAGCTCTTTTGAAGTCTAAGACACCTAAGGTCTAAAGCACATAATAGCTTCCTGTGCACATTGTCCTCCATACTAATTAATTCAAACAAAAATATCAGAGAAGTCAATTATATTTTATGATCCACTGCTAATTCCACGTGAATACAATTACAAAATTTCTCATTGTATCACAGAATTGCACTTTTAAAAAAATGCAATAACATTATTAATCTCACCAGGAATGCCTGAGGGCTTTCTCACAGGTAAGTCTCTTATTTGGATCCTTCTCGAGTAAATGAGAAATGAAATCTTTGGCTGTTTAAAAGGAATAAAAAGAGAAGGAAACAGAGAAAGTGGCTTTAGCACAAAAGCCAGAAGCCAAAACTAATCTGCCAGAGCATTAGGTTTGAGTAATAGGGATCAAACTGATGACATGCACCTCTAGCCAATATAAAAAGATGGCAATGAGTTCCAAAACATGTGCATATTATTAGAATCCCCAAACTGTTTCTTCTAAAAAGAGGGTATACTTAAGATTCATTGTATCAATTTATTTTCAATTATTCAAGCAAAATCTATTAGAAACAAGGAGACATCTGATAATAATCAACATGATTAATTGTGTTGCAGGTTCTGAAAGAACATCTGCACCTTCAAATGCTTCAATGGGATACAGCCTCACAGAACATCTTGCATATGCTTGCAACAGCTTTTGTCCCCTGCTCAGCCATGCGCACACACATCTATCAAAACCATGGCACAGCAGTTCCAGGAATCAGAGCAGTTTCCCCAAATCATTAAACACATACTTTAATAAAGCTCCTGACTACTCAATAGTTGCCTAATTACGATATATACTCATCTGTAGACACAATTCTAGCAGAGATTTCCCCAGGCTTACAAATACCTGATTCAGAGATATCATCCCAAAATGGAGAGTCAAATTCGAAGTATCCTTCTCTGATCTTCTCAAACAATTTGGACTCTGTTTCTTCATAGAAAGGAGGGTATCCACACAGGCTAAATTAAATTGGAAAAGAGAGAGAAAAAGACAAAAGACATTTATATTCATTTTCTGTGCAAATTCAAAAAGATTGATCAGTAGATAGATATCTAATATAAAGCAATTGTGAACTATACTCATTGTAACTATAGCTCATTGTAACTATAGTCCAAAATTATAAAAGAGAATGAGAGGTTCCAGGAGCTCATACTGGATGTCAGTTGCCAATGGAACAGGCAAGTTTCTACCCAAATATAATTATGCTCCAGAGAAGAAAGAACATTGGCTTTTGAATAACATGTATATAGCCTTATAGATGGCATCTTAGTATTAAGCCAGATTCGGTGTTCATCATAAATTAGAGTATATCCTTGGAACAGATATCTTCAAACTAATGCCTTCAGGTTTTATTGGGTTATTCTCATCTAGGCGGAATTGATGGACGTTGTAGTCAATAATAGCAATAGCAATATTACTTAGACTTATATACTGCTTCACAGTGCTTTACAGCCCTCTCTAAGTGGATTACAGAGTTAGCATATTGCCACCAACAATCTGGATCCTCATTTTACTGACCTTGGAAGGATGGAAGGGTGAGTCAACCTTGAGCCTGGTGAGATTCGAACTACCAAACTGCAGTCAGCTGGCAGTCAGCAGAAGTAGCCTACAGTACTGCCTTCTAACCACTGTTCCACCATGCCTCTTAGAGTAGGTTCCTCAACATTTGGAGGTTACTGAACATATCTGACATTTTGAAAGCAGGTCATAGGTATCCCACCTCGGAAGGATGGAAGGCTGAATCAACCTTGATCCTGCTGGATTGGAACTGCCAAATTGTAGTCAGCCCGCAGTCAGCCCTGCACCACCATGGCTAATGTGTGTGAAAACTCTCAGCCAGGGAAAGTTGACATTCTTGAGAAAGAAGGAAAGAAAGAAAGAAAGAAAGAAAGAAAGAAAGAGAAAGAAAGAAAGAAAGAAAGAAAGAAAGAAAGAAAGAAAGAAAGAAAGAAAGTAGAAAGCCTAGCCAGTGTTCTTGAACCTTCCTTCCTGGCCCTTTCTCTTCAAATTTCATCTTGGTGTAGCTGCTGTAATCAGTTAACTTGATTAGTTCATCAAATTAACAAAGTTTATGACAGGCATCAGTGCATATTCCTGATGCATTGTCTGCTGACAGTTTCTTAGATTGCATAATTCTCTGCCGAGGTTATTTGAGTGCTGTCACTATGCAGACATAAACAAACCAAAGAAATAAATAGGCCAAGGTGAGATTAGTCTGCCTGTTTGTCTGTCTCTCCCCCACCATCCATCTATAAATATTTGTAATATATTGGATTATAAATGGAAGAACGAGTTTCATCTAGTGGTTAAGGTATCAGACTAGAAACCAGGAGACCCTGTGTTCTAATCCAGTTTTAGGCATGAAAACCAGCTTGGGGGAATTTGGGCCAGCCACTTCTCTCAGCCCATAATGTCAGGCTCAGCGACCAAGCTAGTTATTCAGTTCCTGTTGTTACTAATGGATCAACACTTGTTTGAGCCAGAAAATAAAGCAGACCTTACACTTATGGAAAAATGCTAGGAAAAAAAAATGAATTGTAAATAGAGTATAAACAAGTTCATCTAGTTTATAGTGAAGGAGCAATTTATAATAAAACTTTTTCATAGAAGGAAACCCTCCAAAATTCCTATATTTGAAACCAGTTTTTAAAAAATCATAATAGGGTGCAACAACCAGAAAAATTATGACAAATAGAAACCACAACAACACAGCATTAATCAAAGACCTGAACATGTACAGTAGATAGGTCTTCAGTTTGTACTGAAAATTTACAGGGCTAATCACTGAACTTGGGGAAGTGGGGGTTGGATGGGAAATTCCATTGTTGTAATACATATGCCAAGAATACTTTCTCTCAGATTAATGTAGTAGTTAACACTAAATTGGTGTTTCTCTCCTCTCCTATCAACCCCCAAGAGATCATAAACTTTATAAAACTTGTTACAAAAACAAGCAACCAAGTAGAACTAGGTAGTTCAGTGGCTAAAACACTAAGTTTGTCAATCAGAAAGGTTGGCAGTTTGGTGGTTCGAATCCCAGGTCTCCTGCGTCAGCAGGGGGTTGGACTAGATGACCTCCAAGATCCCTTCCAACTCTGTTCCTGTTACACAAGATCCTAAAATACAGTGAAGAATAATTATTGTTTTCTTTTTACTCTTAATAGGCCACTATGGGTTAATGCTTTTTTTCTACTTTTTATCTGGGTTTAGCATGCTGTTAATATATCTTTTCTAGGGACTACATAAGACTTTTGAAGGACATTAGCAAATTTGCTGTAATTCACATATTATCTTACAGGATGTAGGTAATAACTCCAATTGACCAGCAATCCACAGCTTTGCTGTATGGCTTTTGTTCTAACACTTCTGGAGCTGCAGTGAACAAAGAACAAAACCCAAATTACCAGTGATCTGACCAATTCATCTTTGAAAAATTAATCAACTCTATATTATCTCAATAATTTTTTTTTTTGCTTTAATTTATATGCCGCCCTTCTCCAGAGACTCAGGGCGGCTTACAATGCGTTAAGCAATAGCCTTCATACTTTAGTATATTTATACAAAGTCAGCTTATTGCCCCCACAATCTGGCTCCTCATTTCACCTACCTTTGAAAGGATGGAAGGCTGAGTCAACCTTGAGCCTGGTGAGATTTGAACTTGCAGTAATTGCAAGCATCAGATGTTAATCTGTTAATAACAGTGCTTTAGTCCACTGTACTACAGGCTCTATTTTGGTGTAGCAGGGCACAAAACAAAGAAAAATAGCATGCTTGACACAAGCAATGACACACGTTATTTATTCTGGAAGGCTGAGCAGTATAATATAGGATACACACATGTATATCACAGACTAGCTGTGGAATGTAGGGCAATGTAATATTTGCTCAAATTGTAATATATTGACATAGCCCTACATAGTATATATTCTTCATATCTCTTATAGATCGTGAGCAAGTTTTGTTTTAATCAGTACTCCATAGCATAGCTTCAATTCTATGGATAAAGACTTCAATTTATGCATATTTATATAAAGCAGAATTTAATCAATGGGTTTCAATAGATATTTCAAATATTGTCTAAACATATGAAATGAGTGTTTTTTGGATCACTTATGTTTAGGTTCTACGCATTAGTTACTATGCTTGCAACAGACTTTACACCTACAATTGTATGTGAAGTATTTATTTCATAATCTGTCCCAATCACATAGAGGATTCCATTTGCATATACAGTTGCATACAATGGGATTCTGACAAAGGAGAGGACTTGAGATAGCCCACAAGTGCTCCAGAGACCTGCTCCTGACAAGGAGTCTGCAAAGTAACAATCTCCAATGCATTTAAAGTTCTAGGAGATGAGTAAATAGTTGTCTTGTTCAAACCACATTCAGCGCCATCGAAAGGACACTGGGATTACATATTTTCTAATCACTTTCAGAAATTGCCCATTAATTGCTTTTCACTATCAGAAACTTAATTTTCTAATCAACAAATTTTACAGCACCAGTGAGTTTCCTACAAATCTTAGCAAAAGAAGTATTTAAGTATTTCATTTTTTTCTCTGGAATAAACAACAAAACTTTGATTTTAGAAAGTTAGAAACAAACCAAAGGTTCAGCTAAATGTGAAATAAGGTTTTGGAATTAATTATAAAGATATAAAAATAATATAGATGCACTACATTTAAAAGATGCTACAGAATAGGAACAAACATTACCTGACATGATTGAGATTGATTTAAAAGTGGATTTAAAAATGACACAGGAAAAGATTTTTTTATTAAAAAACCTGACTGTCTTAATAATGAAAAGGGATATACAAATAAATTCTAGAGCATTATTTAAAAGGATTAAAGATGATGGCTGTTCAAAGTAGAAGGAGGAACAGAAAACTGATTTATTGGATCAAAGTTAAAATAGATCTTATTATTACTCGTAACCCTTAATGGGCTTTTGCTGACATCAGGAATGAAATGATAGGACTTTATGCATTTATTCATAGATAAGAGATGAGATATGAAAAGAAAAGATCATCTGTTGTATTATTAAAAAAGATGATAAGTTAATAAAATTGTTCATACTTGTGATGAAGAGGGGAGACCTTAATATATTTCTTTTCTTTTTCTTTACTATATTATTTTTTTCTTTTCTGATTTTCTTTTTTCTGCACTTTCTATTTTTTCTTTTTTTCTTTTCTTTTTTAGTTTGTTTTAGTTTTTATTGTTGTGAATTGTAATTTTTAATAAAACTACAATTTAAAAATTATTTCCATTTTCTTATTTACCAACATATCCTGGAGTTCCACATGCTGTAGACATGATGCCATTCTGTTCCATTTTAGACAAACCAAAATCTGTTATCATAATTTTGGAGTCCTCTTCTGGAGTTAGGTAGAGTAAATTTTCAGGCTATGGATAAGAAGGTAAAAATTAATTATCTGACATTCAATATCTGAATACAGGTGGTCCTCAACTTACAACCATTAGTTTAGTAACTGTTCAAAGTTATAAAGTGATTTATGGCCATTTCCCACACCTATAATAGCTGCAGCATTCCCATGGTCATGGGATCAAAATTTGAATGCTTGGTACCTGACATGTATTTATGATGATTGCAATGCAGGATCATGTGATCACATTTTTTTTTTTAATTTGATTTATATGCCGCCCTTCTCCGGAGACTCAGGACGGCTTACAATGTGCTAAGTTTTGTGACCTTCTGACAAGCAAAGTCAATGGGGAATCCAGATTCACTTAACAACTGTGTTACTCACTCTGATTCACTTAATAATTATGGCAAGAAAGGTCATAAAATGGGGCAAAACTCACTTAACAATGGAAATGTTGGACTCATCTGTGGTCATAAATTGAGGACTACTTGTAATCTTTTTTGGTAGATAAGATTGCTGTAATGAGTCTAGATCAGGAGTGTCAAACTCGCATCATCACGTTATCATCATGTGACATATCATGACTTTTTTCCCCTTCGCTAAAACAGGGGTGGGCGTGGTCAGTGTGTGATGCATCTAGCCTGCGGGCTGTGAGTTTGATGTACCAAGAGCAGAGTACGCAATTTTAATTTGTTGTGCATATAGTTGGTCTGAAATTGGGGAATAAAAAGTGCAATAAGTGTATTTTGTTTAGAAAAGAATAATATACGACATAATATTCTCATGCCCATATTCTTCCCAACTCTGCATATTAGGAGGCAGGTGGGATTAAAAAAAAACACTGCAAATTCATGGATACTTGCATGACTTGTACGTTAGGTAAAATACACCAAAATCTGAATATACATCATTAAAGAAAAATACCTTTAGATCTCTATGTACTATCCCATTTCCATGAAGATAATGCACTGCTTCCAGAACTTGCTGAATTACAATACTAGCATCCTTTTCAGTGTAAACACCTCGTTCTAAAATACGGTCAAATAATTCTCCTCCAGACACTCTGCGCAAAAAAATTCAGTTTGGATTACATGCTGATGTAGAGAGAATCTTATTGGTTTAACTTCTCTATGATCCATTTCTTGTGTTAATCTATATACAGTGCCAAATAGGTTTATTTACTGGTAACACTGGAAAATTTTGTACCTCTTACATGCTTTGTTTGTAATATGAATGAGATTATAAACCCAGACACTAATCTGTAGAAGTAGGACCTGTTGGTGAGTCACTTCTAATTCTCAGGTTGGAAAAAATACTCCTGTAGAGCTTCAGTGCAAGCAATAATGACCAATTTACATATGAAGTCATAACATAAATAAACACATTTAATTCTCAACTTCACCACTAAACAATTTGAGGCTTCAGTTAGAAATAAATTGCAAGTGCTGCCCTTTGGGTTTGTATCACACTTGGATCTGCAAAGAAAAATTGATTGCTTATAATACAGGACAAGACATATTAAACACAGTTAAGCCTTAGACCAGGCAATGCTTGTGCCTGTCTCCAAATGACTAAGATCTGTTTTCATCAAATCTGGCATATAAAGAAATTCCTTCTTGCCTGATGTAATTTACTAGCATATAATTAGCAGGAAATATCTTCATTAGATGAATTTACTTCCAATTCAGCATTGAATACAGAGTCTGGTTTATTGCTAACAAGGAAACCTATTTTTCTTTTTGAATGCTCAGCATACAAAAGTTAGATATTTTCTCATTAATTCCTTCCTCTTCTGAATGTGAGTGAAATGGTACTTTTGTTTAGGATCCTACTGTCATGCTACTTTAGTTAGGATCTATCTGTCTGCTGTGTAGAAATCCTCCCACTCATGGATGTTATGTTGCATAATTCTTAATATTCACTATTGGCCATCCCTTTTACAAATTAGATACCAAGTTCTTCTCATTTCTCTTCTAAATCTTGTAAGCCCCTAAATGGGGCTTGTAGGGGGTTGGGTGTGGCTGGGAATGACACTGGAAGTAAGGTTCAGCTGCAATGGAGGAAAGAAGCAGAGACGGATACACACAAACATTCCCAGTAATTCCCTGGGCCCAAACACACAAAAAATGAGGTACTTGCTGATTCTTTTCCATTCAAGCACCTGTCTGGTTCAAAACTCAAAACTCCCTTTACCAGCAGTGCCAAGTGGGCAGAATCTGAGAGCAGCACCCCCAGACAAAAAAGTCTGGTGCCATCTGGGTGAAGTCTTACTCGGGCTAGGTCAACTGGCCAGGTTGATCTCAGACTTCTGGCTAGGTTGCCAAATTGTTATAAGTATTTAAGGTCCCAATCCAAATCAGGTTTTTGCAAGAACAAATCAGAATAAAATGCAGACATGCTACTTGAAAAGGAAACTTCATTTGAGACATAAACCCTTGAAGGTAGACTACAAGATTGGGGTACAGAAACTGGGAATATTTATAGGAGACATATGAGACATAGTCTTTTATTGTGTGTATATGTGTGTGTGTGTGTGAATGTGAATGTGCCCTCTGTAATATTTATACTTCGCTGAATGTAGATCTGTTCGCCTTTGATATGTGCCTATGTGTTGACTTTGGTGCTACTTCTGTATACCTAGGGGAACTCTGTACTGTGTAAGGTTTTGTCGGTATGCTATTATTTGCTCAGATTAATTAGTTTAGCCTGGTCATTAATTATCAGAGAAAGAAGTAGATCAGTGATCTTTGCAATATGATTTTCTAGTTTTGGTTACCTGTGGATCATAAAAATGACCAAAAAGCGGGTCAGAGACAATGTAGGAATAATGTAATTTTGATTTAAAAATACTTTTCATACTGTTATTAACAGTATTTTCTTCATTCTTTACAACACCTAAACAAACTATTATAAAAAAAGAAGCTGCTTGCATGGCTTTATATATTTGGGCAATACATTTTTAGAACCATCCCTACCAGGAAAATATTTTTTCTTTATTGCAAGACTTAGATGGGTTGGATTGCAACTAGAGTGCAAAAAGCTTGACTATATTATGAAATTCCAAGATGAGTTCCCTTGATGAATTTATTTTGGAGGAACAGTTTGAACCACTTGGGTGGAAGAGATAGAGTGGGAGAGAATCTTCAACTGCTTGAGTTTTTCTGGTGCTTTAAAGTCAAGTGCAGGAAGAACAAGCAATTAATAAACAACAAATAAAATAAAGCCATTAAAAAGAATCCCAAGAAAGAAAAAGAGAAAGCAGAACCTCTCTTAGATCTTTTATATGTTAGACTATGATACATAGATGTCATCTGCACCTCTATAACTGTCTGGTTTGGTTCTGCAACCCAACAAGACAGCCACAGACACAGACTTCAGAGGATAATTAGAACTTCAGAAAAAACAATTGCTACCAAATTGCTTTCCATTGAGGACCTGAATACTGAATGAGTCAAAAAAAGGGCTGGGAAAATATTTACAGACCCCTCGCATACTGAACATAAACTGTTTTAACTCCTACCCTCAAAACGACGCTATAGAGCACTGCACACCAGAACAACTAGACCCAAGAACAGTTTTTTTTCCAAACGTCATCACTGCTAAACAAATAATTCCCTCAATACTGTCAAATTATTTATTAAGTCTGTACTACTATTAATCTTCTCATCGTTTCCATCACCCATCTCCTTCCACTTATGACAGTATGACTGTAACTTTGTTGCTTGTATCCTTACAATTTATATTGATATTGATTGTTTCCTGATTGCTTATTTGTACCCTATGACTATCATTAAGTGTTGTACCTTATGATTCTTGATGAACGTATCTTTTCTTTTATGTACACTAAGAGCATATGCACCAAGACAAATTCCTTGTGTGTCCAATCACACTTGGCCAATAAAGAATTCTATTCTATTCTATTCTATTCTATTCTATTCTATTCTATTCTATTCTATTCTATTCTATTCTATTCTATTCTATTCCATTCCATTCCATTCCATTCCATTCTATTCTATTCTAGAACCTAAGAAATCAAGGGCAAAAATAATCAGATCAACAATATAAAGTAGTCTAATTTATTAGAAACCTTTTATTTTAAATTGTTACAATAGTGTTTTACATTTTTTTATAGTTTTATCTTACACAAGAATAAAAACAGAGATGTTTGCAATGCTTCCATAAAAAACAACACCTTTCCCACAGTGTTACCAGACTGTTTAATGCCACTTTCTACAACCTCGTGTGACTTAGATATGTTCAGCTATGATTCTCAAAAACTACTGACTTTTGCCTGGGAGAATTGTGCAACATTTGTTTCTTACATAATGTAGGTGTTGATACTTACAGCTGCATTACCAGGTAATAGTGAGTTGTACTTTCATAAATGTCCTCAAGTGTTACTATGTTGTCATGCTTTATTCTGCAACCAAAAACAGAATGCAATATGGATCTGATGTAATAAGAGATCATTAAAAAGCAAGCTAATATTCACCCCTCTTTTCTGCCAGATGTTTTTCATTCAGATTGAACTCTGGTACTTTCATTTAAGGAACAAACACGTATTTCAGCTTCTAATAACAAGAGATCCATTTTCCCCACTACTATTTGCCATACACTCATGGAAAGAAAAAAAGAACATTATAAAATATGTTTTCTCTTGTTTAGAAATTGTACCCTTTCTACAAGAATGTGGCTGGGCTTTTTCTTATGTTCCATACACTATTCTGAAGGAGGCAAGATTTAAAATTTCTTACTAGTATAGCTTTCTTAAAATATTTTATTCTAAAAACAAATTCTCACATTTTATTTCTTTTGCACTCATAATAATGTAAATATACTTGAAGGATCAGACTGAAGATCTACCTAAATCACAATTTTCAATTATAAAATTAAAATTCACAAAATGAATCCTATCCTTGATGTTTTTGTCTGTCCCATTAGATTTAGCAGAGAAGACATACTCTGGGTATCATCAGTGAAGCAGTGTCACCAAGTTCTAGAACATATACTTTCTCTGTCATGGGCCTGTTTGGGGAATAGTTTCCTTACTAAAATACTGATAGCCTTAACCTTGGTCTTTCAGAAGGTTGTGAAGATCTGCCTGTTCCCTAGGCATTGGAATTGGGATGTTGATGGAGTTCTGATGTGGTTTGCTTGATCAGCCAATAGTGTGATTTTAGACCACAATCCAGTGTCTTTTTAATGGATCTGTATTGTTGATGTCTATAGGCCACAAAACAGGCTCCCCAAGGCTATAGTCATGGTATCTTGAAAACCTGAGTGAGTTCTCAATTAAAGACACTAATTGTGACTGGAAACTCTATTCATTAACTAAGGATCTGCATGATCACAACGACTTATGACGGCATTTTTATGGCAGTCATTAATGAAGACATTAGTCATTAAACAAGGACTTCATGTGACTATGAAGCCATCTTGTGACTTCCTGCTGGTTTCCAGATTGATCTTTGCTTATTGGAAGCTGGCAGGGGAAGTCACAAATGGTAATCATGTGACTATGGAATTTTACAATGGTCAGAAATGCAAGCTGGTCAATGAACATTGACCCTCTGGAATCAGCTGCCCCAGAGATAAGGAGAATCCAAGACCTCGGTGCCCTCCGCCGTGCCCTTAAAACCTTCTTTTTACAGCAAGCCGGGCTGGCCTAACACTTTTTTAAATGTTTCTAATTGTTTGTTATTGTTTTTAATCATGGGGCCAAATTTATATATATCTTTTTAATTGTATTTTAATGTTTGTAGTTTATGCTTTTACTTGGCTGTTCACTGCCCTGAGTCCTCAGGGAGAAGGGCGGTATACAAATTTAAAAATAAATAAATAAATAAAATAAATAAACATCTGAATTTTGGCCACATGGCCAAGGGATGCTGCAATGATAAGTGCAAGAACTGGTTGCAAGTCCCACTTTCTCAACACTATTGTAACTTCAAAACGTTGCTGAATGAGTAGTTGTTAAGTGAGGATTATCTATATTAAAAGAGAGGACTATTTTGTGGGGTGGTTTTTTTAGCTAAATTGGAAAACAATACTACTTTGAGTGCACAGTTTATATACTGTTCATTTATGTCCAGTAGCCCTCATTTGTTAGATGGGGCACACATCTTAAAGTTGGTAAGGTTGAGAAGCACTATTTTAGTGGATTTTAAGCAGAAACATTAATGTTTTATCGGGGAACCTTCAGTCAGATGAGACAATTTTTAGTTTACTTCTCTCCCAATTGCTCTAAAATAAGTAACTTGTAGACTTCTTGAAGAAGTTTGAAAGAAACATTGAACTCTGTCATGCATTCCCAACTATACTTACTTCTTCAGCACAGCTATTTCATTCTCCAGGTTGCTGTCCTGGGTGACTGGTGACTTTTTAATGCACTTCAAAGCAAAAAGCTTGCCAGTGGTTCTATGCTTCACCAGGAAAACTTCCGAAAAGGCCCCTCTGTAAGGAAAACAATGATGTAAGGCTGAGCATTGTACTGCAGTAGTTGACTTAGTTGTTAAGATATAAAACACTGCAACATAAAATAGCCTGTAAGGAAGATAGTAATACATTAACACTATTTTCAGAAACAGATGGCACTGCTAATTAGATCCAGGGATTTGGCTGCAAATTCAAGGGTATTAATTGGATAAATCCCCTGTGAGATTTGAGTTCTATTTATTGTGCAATGGCCATATAGAGAGGAAACCATAGCATAGAAATAAGGTAGGTATATGAGCTAAAATTTAGCAATTGTATAACAGAACATAAAACATACAATCTGATCATTATGTTAATTGTCAAGTCATAATGTATGAAGAATAAGTAGGATTCTATATATCTTTGCACAATAGTGGTAATATTCATTGTCAAGTGATTTTTCCATTCTGGCACTAGGATTTCTCTACAATGCCAATACTGAAAATCTTACATAAATTTAGAGACTTTTCTGCTTTCTAGATACAATAGTGCCTCTTCTTCATTGTGTGGAACACAACCCTAACATCTTTTGTAATTATAAACCCTTGTTGTTGTTAGTTGCGAAGTCGTGTCTGACTCATCGCGACCCCATCGGACTTTCCTCCAGGCCTTCCGGTCCTCTATCATCCCTTGGAGTCCATTTAAGCTCACGCCAACTGCTTCAGTGACTCCATCCAGCCACCTCATGTTCTGTCTTCCCGTTCTTCTTTTGCCCTCAATCTTTCCCAGCATTAGGCTCTTCTCCAGTGAGTCCTTCCTTCTCATTAGGTGGCCAAAGTATTTGAGTTTCATCTTCAGGATCTGGCCTTCTAAAGAGCAGTCAATTATAAACACTACAATATGATAATTGTGAAATCAATCCACAGGAAGATTTGAACTGTAAATTACCTATAAGTCTGGTTGTGCTTTATTGTCCCCATACTTCTTGTTATATCCCACTGAATGAAGAAGGCACTTGCCGGAGCTTTACCTGAATATTACCTTGTTTACCAGGACTTGAAAAAAGTTTCATTCTTCTTTGCCTAGGTAACAGTTTTTCCATGTTTCTACCAAAGTCACTTACTTTGTTCTCTGCAGCAATAAAGCAGAAGATTCTAGGAAACACCTTGATTTCTTACAAGGGCAAATTCTTTTGATTTTTGTATAACCAAAATTACAACTACCACAAAATCCAGAAATGGTTCTGTTCACTTGTTCAGACTCCCAAATAAGAGATTTCAACAGAATGCAAGTCAGGAAAGTAAAATAAAATAAAAAGGCATTACAAATATTGTTCACAACATTCTGTCATAACAGTCTCAATCCCAGATAGACAGAAAGACACTTCTCAAATTAGGCAACCTTGTTTTGCTGGTGAAAAGTAAAGAGAACAAAATTATATAATGAAAGATAGATGAGGAACAAAGTGCTCCAGCTTTTAACAGCATTTCCCAGCAAACTATGGTAAGAAAGAAAGGATGAAATTTAAGCTAAGGTGGTTGGTATTATTTTTAGAGTATTTATAGTTTTCACTGTGTTAAGCAAAATCTAGAATTATTCATAATTAGAAAAACCTTACTCAAATCAGTAAGATTTAAATTAGATGGGGGTTTCCTGGGGTAAATTAGGTCTGTTCTACATCTCATCAACTTTGGAATGAACTGTAACTTGAAACTACAATTACATCTATATTATAAACCTGTGTACAGTATGAAGGGGGCACGATAGTTCAGCGGTAAAAGATGCTGAGCTTGTCAGCTGGAAAGTTAACAGCCTGGATTTGAGGCCCGAGTGCCCCACAATGGGGTGAGCTCCTATCACTTGCCCCAGCTCCTGCCCATCTAGGAATTTGAAAGTATCCAAACACAAGTAGATAAATAGGTACCACTTTAATGGGAAGGTAACAGTGTTCTGTGCGCCTCTGAGTATAGTCATGCTGGCCACATGACCACAGAAACATTTTTGGACAATGCTGGTTCCCTCAGTTAAGAAAATCTTAGCACTGCCCCTAGAGTCAGACACAACTGGACAAGGGAAATGTCTATGGAGATTCTCAGTCCAAAAGCTGAAGAAGCTTCTTGGTTGTGAAATGAAACGTTTTCAAAGAAAAACCAGAAAGTCCAGTTGTCTCTTGAAAAAGCACGTTTGGACAAGGGAAACCTTTACCTTATCATACCTTTACAGTATGATGATCAAGATCCTTATGTTTTCATCATAGAAGTTGGCTACTGTTGGCTACTGTTTAATATGACATGACAACATCCTAACATTTTCTGTCTAGCCTTTCTAATTAGTCTTTTGTCAATATAGGATCTAAAAGGAATGTTTGTTTATTTATAAATCAATTAAAACTGTCAATTAAATGACAGTTTAATAGTGAGATTGCGTCTGTACTTATTTTACTTTGCAAAATAATATGTAAAAGAGAAGCAAAATGAAGAATATAATATCAAGTATGAAAAATGGATTTACGAAAGGCTGTTGCTGTGGTCATGTCATTGTCAGGCTCCAAGTAATGCACCCATTACAAATCAAACTCCGAGGCATTGCTTTTCCTCAAAGAACAAATTTATTTAGATACATCATCTTGGTGCTATTGGTGAAAAGCCAGTATTGAAGTTACTGGGCCTTTCACCCCAATATAAGTTTCAGTTTCTCAAGTTTCCAAAATGAACTGTCACATTGTCCAAACAAGATGATAGCTGGTTGCTTGGTGACTTCTCTCCTCCTCCTCCTCCAGTCAGCCAGCTATTGGAATGTGCCTGACTCATCAGCTAGCTATGAAATTTTGACTGAAGGCTCCATCCTCCTTCAGCTCCAACTGTGTCAACTGAATTCATGTCAGAATACCCAAGAATACAAACAACCCCACACCCCAATCGAATTCAGGCTTAACAGTCATCTTGAATGGTCTGTGACAGTTTCCCAGCCATTCTTGCAATCCTTTTCTCCCTTTTTCACCCAGCAGTAGCCACTTATTTGGGGGTAAGTTACTTGGGGTATAGGAAGAGAAAAAAAGAGGGAAGGAAGGAAGAGATGGAGAAAAATGAAGAGAGGGAGGGAAGGAACAGGGTGGAATGAACCACCATACACCCTTCCTGGCCTCTGCTGCCCACTTCCTATTCCCAGAATCCATATCCTCCACACTTTCCCCAAAGCAAAGGACATTTATTATGTACTCCCATGCACTTTTCTGAACTGTGGAAGGAGGAAGGGAGAAAGAAAAGAAGATAAGGTCAGAATGAAAGAGAGGGGGTGGGAGAGGCAGAGGAAGGGAGGGAGGAAAAGAAGGGAGGAGGAGCGAGGAAGGGACAGGGAAGAAGGAAGGAACAAAGGAAGCAAGGGAGAAAGGAAGGAATATTTTTGATCCTCTGTGCCAGCTTCTTAAGGAAATATATCTGAAACAAATAACTAATGGAGCATGGACTGTCTAGTAGCAATTATAGATTTAAATGTAAACACAATTTCCAGGATTAAAAAGTAGTGATTATGGTTTATAAATTGCAACTTGTTTTATATTGTATGGTTAGTAGACTCAGACACAACTGGACAGGGGAAACTCTTACCTTTACCTTTAGTAGCTATGTCTTATCAAAATCTTTCACAAGGTAATGAATAGAAAATGGCCACTTAATCTATCCAGAATAGAATTTTTGTTTTAGATTTCCTATGTTAGGTAACCAGATCCAGGTCAATACATATAATTAGCATGTTAATATCAGGAGAACTAAACAGAAATAGATTGAAAATCAGGGAACTACTAAAAATGTAGTTGGAGGAAAAAAATAAAACGAAGGAGCAGTCATTAGCCCACATAATGGACAGCAAATGTATGAAGAGCAAAGAAGAGTGGAAAATAAGATTTACTATACATATTTTTATTACATCTAAAACAATGAAGATCTGATACTTGAAGATCAATTGTCTTTCAATTGTCCTTCATTGAAAGTCATTTGTAACTGTTTTAAGTTGTGAATCAATGCTTTGCATAGACTGCACTGTGCACAGAGCTCATTGAAATGTATTTGTCTGCTTCATCAGGTCACTGAAAATTCATTCTTAGCATCTGAGAAGTTGAACTGCAGAGGTAGTACAATGGGGATTGATGACAAAGTTTAGCTATCCTGAGCAAGTTCTATCACAGGTTTATTCAACTGGGGGCAATAAACATTATAGAATGTTACAAATGTATAATGCTATTCTCTAGGGGAGTAGGAAGCAACAGTTTCTCCAAGGCATATTTATTTTATGTTAATAGCAAGCTATGTTCCATTTGTAGACATTATTCAAAGTCCTTAGAGATACTACATATAAGCTGTAAACACATTTATCAGGATGTTATTCCATTTGTTATCTTTTCCTCCATCTCATTTCATATTTATTTCACCTGATTCTTGTTCCTATCCACTTGAAGCATAAATATCTAGAAGTAAAATATCTAGTTTAAGTAAGTAAAGGCTTTAAAAAATTGAGACTATTGCTTCTGTTTTTCTTGATTGTAAATGCATATTTTGAATTTCTCTCATACATTCTTTATTCATCTTATTTACATACAAGAGCCATACTTGTATGTATGCTTGGAATGGACTTAAATAAGACTAAAGTTCATGAAGTTCTAAATTAAGTTCTGTTGATTATATGGGAGTATTTTGTAATTGGATTTGTGAATGTTACCAGCAATGTGTGAAAAGTTGGCATTGTATAGATGGCTTAGGAAATCTATCGAATGTGGGACGTTTCTAGGCAAAGTATGAAATGTCTGTGTTATTTTAATATGCTATATACTTTCCCTAGGCATTGTATATAATACCTGGGCATTATGCAGAATAACAAGAACTGCAAAGTATGAAAGTATGAAAAGAGAGTCATGAAAAGGGCTAGGCCTAACTCTAACCCTGATCCTTTATTGAAAAGTTATATATATATGAAAATGAAAGAAGAAATGCAAAGTAAAGTACAGGACTTTCTTATTGGAAAAAAAAAAAGAGAGAGAGAGAGAG